CATTAAGACTGTACTTCAGACCCAGCTTAAGCTTCCTGTCCCTTTAGCACCCACTCATTGACCCGAGTTTACCCCGCAGAGCAGTGAGAACAGATCTAATCGCAGGGAAGCAACTGAGGGTAGCAAGACCCTGTGCTCCTGTGTCGGGTGGTGACTGAGCAAGTGGACGACAATTCCCCTTGGAGTGAAGACAGCACCTCCTCCTTGAAGATGAGAATGTGGTATTCCCAGGGGACGGAAACCCCTGGCACACCGATGTGCTCGTTATCACCTTCTTCTGCTGCTTGGTAACCCTTCAAATACTGAAAAATGTCTGTCCTGTTTCCTCTAAACCTTCTCTCCCTCCAGGGTATGCATCCACTACCTCTTTAACTGTGCCTCTTAGGATATGTTTTCAAGACCCTTTACCATCTAGAATTCATTTTTGCTTATCAACACAGGTTCTTCTGTCCCTTTTTCCAGTTCTAGTTTTTTACACCCTCCATGTTAGTTTAGGGAAAAACTGTGCCAAAAGTATCCTCCATGTGAGTCAGGAGCAGAGGGCACAGGGAAGACCCCTCCGGGGGAGGCCTCCCTGTGTGATGATGCCAACCGCCCCCCACAGCGGTCATCCGGAGGGCGGCCCCATGCAACTTCTGGAGGCTGCTGAGCCATCCAGCCGTGACCATTATGTCAGAGGGATGGTGTCCTGCCCTTCCCAGCTGGCACGGGGGAGAATCCTCTTGAAGCTTGGCTCCCTTCCACTTCCTTCCCTTGTGAGGGCTAAGGAAATGAAGGCCAGAACCAGGACAAGTCCGCATAGTGCAGGGCGTGGCCCTTCTAAGTCACCAGCTTGTCTCAGCTCAGGCTCCTATAACAGAACGTCACAGACTGGGGGGCTAAATAGCAAGGATTTACTTCTCACAGTTCTGGAGGCTGGGAAATCTAAGGTCAAGGCGCTGGCAGATTCAGTGTCTGGTGAGAACCTGCTTGTTGGTTCATAGATGGCCATCTTCTCACTGTGTCCTCAAACGGCAGACGGGGTGAGGCAGCTCTCTGGGGTCTCTTTATGAGGGCACTAATCCCATTCATGGGGGCTCCCCCCTCATGACCTCATCACCTCCCAAAGGCCCACCTCCTAAAACCATCACACCAAGGGTTAGGATTTCAGCGAGTGAGTTTTGCAGGAGACAAACGCGTCCATAACACACTTCCTCTCCTTGGCAACCCTACTTGCCAAGGGCAGTTGGAAGTGATTTCTTCCTTTCCTTTTCCTAATGCCTGTCTAACCCTGAGGACTCATCTCCCCCCATTAAACTCCCTGGGTGCAGGGACATGGCTGATCTCTGCTGTTACTCGCCCCTGCCCAGGTCCCCAAGAACAGGATGCTTTCCTGGGATGATTCGTGTCAGCTGTGAAGGCTGGGTCGAAGTTCACAGCTCTGTTGACTTGGTACAATGCCCCAAACACCACTCTGGGAGTGGGACACCCTGCCCCTGAGAGCTCTCCATCCCTCCCTCATGCTTCAGACACACCTTCCGACCTTGCCAGCAGGCGCTATCTCCTCTAGTGCTCTCCGGAGAGGGGAGAGTGGGCTCAGGGTGCCTGCCATTCCACACTGCCAGGCTCCTCTCACCCCAATTCAGCCTTACACCCTCCTGTCTCCATCAGGCTGCTCCAGGGTGCAAATAACACAACACCCATGCAAAAGGAGCTTAAAAACAACAAGAGTTTGGGGCTGGCCCCGTGGCTGAGTGGTTAAGTTCGCGCGCTCCGCTGCAGGTGGCACAGCGTTTCGTCGGCTCGAATCCTGGGTGTGGACATGGCACTGCTCGTCAGACCACGCTGAGGCAGCGTCCCACATGCCACAACTAGAGGAACCCACAATGAAGAATACACAACTATGTACCGGGGGGCTTTGGGGAGAAAAAGGAAAAAATAAAATCTTTAAAAAAAAAAAAAAACAAGAGTTTATTCATTCACCTAACAAGATGTCTTGAAGTCGGAGGCTCTGGGTCAGTTCAGCAACTCAGTGGCATCATCAAGGTCCCAACGTCTTTCCATCTTCCTGCTCTGCCAGCCTCAGCATCTTGGCTTTCATCTGCCCTTTTTCCCCTGGTGGTTGCAGGTATGACTGCTTTATACAGCCTGTCCAAAGACAGGAAGGATACTCACTCCTCAGGCATCTCCTGTTAGCAACAAAACCTTTCCCCAAAAGGCCAGCAGATGTCCCCTCAAACCTCATTAGCAGGAACTGGATCACATGCCCACGGCCCACTACCCACCCTGACACCCAGGTGATGGGATCAGACAACAGGCAGTGCCCATTGTCCCTGAACACATCGATGCCTGACACCTGAAGAAGTGGGCCTCTGATACCAAGGAAGAGGCGAGATGGCTGTTGCATAGGACTGAGCTGTGTCTGCACGGGCTGGCCTACTGGCACCCCCTGCTCCAGGACAGGTGGCCTGGGTCAGAGGCCTGCAAACTTTGCTGCCCAGGCCAGGTGAGGAACACTCCACCATGGCCCAGGTGACACCAACATCTTGATAAAGAGCAAGTCACACTATGGCCCCGATAGGTGACAAGACACACCACACAACTAAGGGATGTGCTTCTTGTCTATCTGTCTGTGGAGACTAAGGAAGGCTCCTGTAGTGAGCTCTGCAATGGCTTAGAATTCTTTCCCAGAATGCACTCAGCAAGGGCCCATCTAGGAAATACACGTTCCAGCATAAGCTTAGAGGGCTCCTGCACTTGAGAACGTGTATTTCTTCACAGCAGGCCTTTTATACCTCTGGCCATCAGGGAAAGTACTTTGACAGAGGGGTAGCACCCAGCTGCATGATTTAAATGTCAGGAATCTGCATTTTTTTCTATCCCGTTTGGCTATAACTTGTCATGGTGTATGCCGTCCCCCAGCAATGGTGAACACAGTATCTGAAGAGCCACATGTCTTAAATCTTTTAGACTTGGTTTCATGTGCACTTGGTGGAGCTAAGCATTTCAAGGAGTCTGAACGCCAGAACCGGCCGAGGGTCTGAGGAGGCCCACCTGGCCAGCCTGGGGATTGCAAGGGCTGTGATCCCAGGGCCAAGCTTGCGGAAAAAGATGCATTCAGACGGAACTGTGCTCAAGTCAGTGCCCGAGTGTCGATGGCGCCTCCAGGTCTGTTCACAGTGGCTCCTGTTAGGCTATATCACCCCTAAGCTGCATTTCTACTCTTGTTTGCTTTCCTTTAACTTTAAATTTTATCAGGTTAGCTCTTATCCCTGATTTCAATCTGCACAGACATGTTTGAATCCTACTTTTGACATTAAACATAGTAGCTCTCATTCCCTGCCGCGTCATGTGTAAATTTGATCAATGTCCTTAACCTAGCAACTCATAAAAAACCAAACCAGCCAGTCAGAGAGGCCATAATAACCTCTACAGGAAAATTCTTATTATACAGTTTACTTAAAAAGCACAATTTTAAAAATCAACGAAAGCTCTTGCAGACTCCATGAATCACACCCCTTCTACAAAATAGCCCATTTTACTCTGAGGTTGGAGGACCAAACATCATCTCATTCTTGGAAGGCTAAAGGAGAAACCCCGAAATACCAAGTCATAAATGATTCTGCGGATAGTCTGATGCCTCTGCAAACCCACCAGGAACACGTCTGGAATAGTAGTGAACACCTCCAAGTTTCCCCAAAGCCCTGCCTCTGACCCCACACCTCCCTGTGAGGAGCTGCGAAGGGACCCACGTCACAGGGCTGGCGAGAGTGCAAGGCGACAGAGAGGGAAAGACACCAGAGCTGCGCACCATGGGAGAGAATTCGTTCTTCATGAGGAAATCAGGGGCTACGGAGAATGGAAAGATAGTGGCAGCCAAAACCTGACAAATGTCCACAGCACCCATTCCTCACCTCAGACACACACAGGTGCTGTCTATACTGTCACACTGTTTTTTTCTTTCAGAGAACTTCCCGCACAAACACTCACCCACTTTTTGTTTCTCTCTGTCTTCTAGAACACAAACTGTACAAGATTACAGGCCTTGCACATTTATCCACTGCTGACTCAGAAACACACCCTATGTAGACAGTAGACAGTCAGTAAGTATTTGTTGAATGAATGAACAAATGAGTCCCCAGTTGCTTCTCATTTAAATGAAAATTATCAAATTGATCATATTTTTACCAGTTTAGTTAAAGATGCAAACCATTTCACTTTGTCAAACCTCCATGAAGACAGTTTGGTATTTAAGTCAGAAGGGAAAGACTGGGAGTTCAACTCTTTCCTGTGATACACAGGGATTATTCGAGCCACCATTCAATATCAATTTTTCAGATATATGAAGCTTGTCAATTCACATTCAAAGGTTTTCCTTAACTTGCCTTTATCTAAATCACTCAAGTCTCTTCTCATAAATGAGAAATATTAAGTCAATGGCTGCTTTCATAAAATAAAGAAGTGACTAGCAGAAATCATCTGCAAGCTCGGTGAATAGCTTTTCTTTAGTGCTTAAAATAATAAATACCACTTAAAGACCAAAGACTACGTGCCACGAATTTTACAAATAATAAATACCACTTAAAGACCAAAGACTACGTGCCTCAGTCCCCTGTCCAGTGCATCATTATCCCAACAACAGGGATTCAGGAGACCAAGGCTCCAACAGGGGAAGCCACTTGTCCCAGGCCTCCCGCCGAGGAGCAAGTGGAGATCTGAACCCAGGTCTGGCTGACTCCGAAGCTCACGATCGTTTACTCCATTATTAAATCATTACCAACTACTCCAGGACTTCACGCATCTTCTCCGAGTATCATGTTCCATCAAATCTGAGATTCTATCAATGGCGGGTGAGGTACAAGTACATCCTGATGACAACGCTGCCAATACAGTATAAAACACCATCCATTGGAAGGTGCATCACAATGTCAGAAATGCCAAAATGTGTGTGTATATACACACACATTTACACACACACACACACACACCCCTTACATTCAATAAAATACAGTAATCCACTAGCCTTGGAACAAATTATTCATAATATACGTTATAAAATATGAATGACTCTCCAAGTCCTTTAACAAATCAATCTTGCCAGGAAGTACAGAAAAGAAAGAGAAATCTTAAGTATGAATAAAGCTCTAGGAAACTGCAAACATTTACTAACACATACTCTCTTTAAAAAGTGTTTCTTCTCATCTATGGCATTTAATCATACTCTTTACAATGTGAAGAGCTGTTGACATTTTTCCCACCCATCAACATGACCGTCACTTATTCACGTTTTCATACATCTAAGTGCATGAAAAGGTAGTCACTCCTTTTTTAGATTATAACAGAAGGGGATTTTAAATCTACCTGCTGTTCTTAACTTTTGTTTCCTCCAAAAGTCACAGAAAGTAACAGTAATTTCTCATTCCATACCAAAGAAAAATATACTGTATGCTGAAGACATCGCTGTAGGTCTCTATAAAATCAAAGACCACCAACACTTCAGCAAACACTCTCAATAAAATTTATGTATAAAAAATAATAATACAGTTTAATTTGAATGACCAGCTGGAAACGCATCGACCTTCAGGGCCTCGTCTCCCTCCCTCTGAAAGTGCTCATGTCGTATGCCCACACGGTGTCTATCCCCTCGCCGGTGACCTGGTCCGGGGTCCAGTGCGGGAAAGGGAACCGGCAAGCAATGACCCTAGCGTTATCCTCGAGCTCGAGCTCCAGTTTCTTCTCCAACTGCGGCATCTGTGGAGAACAACGGTCATTATTTCACCAAGTGGTGAGTCCGAGGAAATGATTTCCTAACGTCCTCTGTATTTCAGTGCCTGAAAAAATTACTAATTGTAAAAAAGATCACTTCAGGGCATAAATACATTATCAAACAAGCCATTAAAATACAGAAGTCACATTACCAACAGTTATGAGAACGTCTTCTAATATCAATTATAGAGTACGTCATTTTTATTAAATGTGTATGATAGAGCTCCGGTTTTCTGACTAAAACCATGATGTGGCAGTAATTAAAATGACAAGCAGCTTTAAATTATTTACCTACCTAAACATTTCAATCTACCCTGTCACAACTATTTAACACATATTTTCCCACATTTTTAACGTCTCTGAAATCAGGATACCCCTTGCAATTGACACTGTCTTAGAATTACTAATTGGCAATATTTTTTTCTTTCTCAATAGCAATGGTACATCTTAAAATCAATAGTATCTAGATTCAATGAAATACAGTATAATTAGACCATGAAAAAATATATTCATTCTACCAACTTGAAATATAATGAAATATCTCATACTTCTTAGAAAATTTATCTATAATATACTGATAATTTCTTGACAGTCAACATAAAAAGTAAAATCCTCATATTTCCCACTTCTACATCTTTTTATTACCAATCTACCTGTGAAGAAAGAGTTTTATTGTTTGCTAAACGTATTGACATTGTAATTACATCAGCAAATTAACAACCGATTAAATATTTATCTTCAGGTCCTAAAAAGACATTACCACCTTCACCTCCTACTTTCTTCTTTTGATATTTGGAAATAATGTCAAATTTATATAAAAGCTGTAAGACTAGAACAAAATCCCCTGTGTCCCTTTACTTGCTGCACCAGTTTTGAAGTCTGTCATATTTGCTTTATCCAGTTTGCCCTCTTCCTCTCTCTGTGAACATTTTTTCTAAACCATTTGAGAACAGGTTGCATACAACATGCCCCTTTATTCCTTGATACTTCTGTGTCTTCCAAGAAATAGTCCCAGCTCAGTTATCAAATTCATGAAATTTAACATTGTATTCTCATAACAATAATTCCAATACCATTCCAATTTGGTCAGATGTCCCAATAACGTCTTTTATAACCTTTTTCCCGAGTCCAGGATCCCATATTGCCTTTAGCTGCAATGCTTCCTTGGTCTGCTGTAACCTGGAACAGTTCCTCCATCTGTCTTTGCCTCTCCTGACGGTAACATCCTTTAAGAACACAGGCCAGTTATCTCACCACTGGCCCTCACCCTGGGGTCCCCAGATGTCTGCTTGTGATGACTCAGTGTGTGCGTGTGCAGCAACGCCTCATAAGTGGGGCTGTGAACGTCCCGAGGCTCCACAGTCAGATGCCCACGGGGTCCTCCTGCTTCGAGGGTGATGTTCACCACTCGGTTAAGATGGTATCTGGTGTCTCCACAGTGTAGTTACTATTTTCCCTTCAGAGTGAATGAGTACTTTGTGGGCAGACACCTTGAGATGTAAATATCCTGCTACTCACCAAACTGTACTAGAGTGAGCATTCTTAACGATTCTGGGCCAAGTCAATTTTCACTATAATGGTTGCAAAGTGGTGCTTTGCTAATTCCATCACCCCTTCCGGATTAAGAGTCAGCATTCTACTGCCAGGAAGAGCTTCCCCTTCTCTCTCTCTCTCCATCACGTACTGTGAACTCCCAGACTCTTATTCCATTCAGTGGGTTATAATCCACTATTGTCCTCGTTTATTCTAATGCTCAGATTGTCCCAGTGCATCTACTGGGAGCCTCCTCAAACTGGCTTCTCTCTCCTTTGGACACCCCCCCATCAAATATTCTGAGCACTTCCTGAGATCCAGGCTCAACAAAACGCTCCCTCCAGGCTTTTGTATCTTCCCTTCCTCAGCCCTGAGATCAGCTATTTCTCAAACAGTCCTGGTTTCTCTGAGTGGGAAATGATACTACTCCCTTTAAAAGTAACCAATTAAATCAAGATGAACAAATCAACAGTGCTTCTAGGAAGATTTTATTCCTGACCCGTATCTTTAAAAGGTGGCTTGGAAAAACTCCTCTACGGACCGATGGCTTGAGTGAGCCAAAATTCTGATGCTTCATTATAATCAATACTAAGATAACAAAGAATGAATTCCATTAAGGATGAAATATTTCCTTTCTTTTAACGGCCAGTAAAAGATTAGTTTTCAAAAAAAGAAAGTTTTGTTCCTTGAGGGAAAAATTGAATAAGCAAAGAATGAGACAATACGTGTTTTTCCAAAATATCAGAGGTTTCTTATGGTAATTTTGTTCATAAAAAGGATAATTGTCAACTTATTCATATTATCATTATTCTTTTCTCCTTCACAGTTTCTTTTATTTCCAAATGACTGCCACATGCTAAGTCAAGATAAACCTACAAATGAAAGGAGCTATTTCAATCATAAGAAATTAACTGACTAAATTACACATAAATATTCAATGAACTTGGGTCTTGATATCATACACAAAGAGAAGCAGTGATGTGTCATGTCTGTTTAATGGAATTCAAAGTTATTCATACAATTATAGCTTTCAAAGTAACACAAACTCATCATATTCTAATTACATCTTCAAAACTTTAAACATAAGTTGAAACCAGCTCAGAGGCGTAAGACAAACGAGCTAAGCCCCAGTAGCTTTGCGCCCCTGGATCACTCTCTTCCCTGAAACACGGGCTTCACCTGGCTTCTGGGTTAACACCTACTGCCCCACCCACCCCCATCTGCACCTGGGGCCCCCGCTCCCCCACCCAGCTTTCCTCCTCCCCAACTCCTCCTCTCCTTTGCAGGGTCCCCTCATCGTTAGACGCCAGGGCTCAGGCCCTGGACGGCTGCACCTCCTTCCTGGGTGATCTCAGCACTGGTCAGCTTCAATTTCTGCTGCATCAGAGCCCAACCAACCTAATCTCCAGCCTGCCCTTCCCCCTGAGCCCCAGACTCCTTCTACCCACGACTGCCAATGTGACACCTCCACACGTGTCTCGGACTTCACATGCCACTCGGAATTCCTGATCTTCCCCAGTTCAGTAATGGCAACTCCAAACTTCCAGTTGCTCAGGCCAAAAACCTGGGAGGGCCCTTGGCCTGTCTCTTTCTCTCATGCCCACAATGGATCTGCGGCTGGTTCTGTCTTCACGATGCATCCAAAATTTGACCACTTCTCACCAGCCTCTCCACCCTGGTGGAAATCTATCACACCTATGGCCTGGATGCCTGCTAGAGCTCATAACCTGCCTCCTGGCTTCTACCCATGTCCATCCTTGTCCACGCAGCAAGCTCCTCCACTCCTCTGCTCAAACCTGCAATGGCTCCCGCCTTACAAGGGCACAGTGTCCTTCCCATCCCAGTCCCTATTTCTTCTCCGACCTCACCTCTCCCCTTCTCCCCTCACTCACCCCACTCCTGCCAGATCCACCTCCTTGCTGCTCCTGGAACCTAACAGGCACACCCCCTCAGCACCTTCACAGTGGCTGCTCAGCCTGGAACATGCTTGCTCTTCCCAACACGGCCGCACAGCTCCCTCCCTCGCTGCCACAAGTCCCTTTCTCAGGGACACTGTCTCTGCCCCATCCCTCTCTTGCTTTACTTTGCCCCCTGGCACTTATCCCCTTGTATTGTATGATCTATTTAATATAAGTATCTCCTTTAACATCTGCTCTCCCCATTAGCACATAAGCACCTTGGGGCAGGGATGTTTTTCCTTTTTATTCACCGAAGTACCCCAAGTGGCTAGAATAGAGTCTGGCACCTAGTGGGCCCTCAATAAATACTTGTCAAATGAATGAATGAAGGATAAATGATTCAGTCATGAATCATTTTTCTTTATCAGTACATGATGGCAATATTTTTGTTCATTAATTCATAACAGGATTCGTAACTAAAACTAGTCATTGTCTTAAGTTGTAAAATTTAATAGCCGCTAGGAAAAGTGTACTTAATGGGTACGTTATACCATATTCATTCATCCATTTAACAAACATTCTGTGAGTGATCGCTCTGTGCTGGGTGCTGCTGGGCTGGAGGTCTGGCAGCAAAGAAGGCAGGCCAGCCCTGGTTCTTCAGCTTACAGAGCAATGTACACGGCCAGCACTGCCAAAGTCATCACCCACAGAAACATACAATAACTCGTCTAGGAAGAGGGGAGTGGAAAATAGAGGGCACTGAAACTCATCTTATTGGGCGGAAATTGGTCCTCTCTCAGACCTGTGTCACAAAGCTGACCCATGAGTGGTCAGTAGGTGTCCACTTACCAGGCACAGAGCTGGGGGGACCGAAGTTGGAGGGAAGGACATAGCACACACACAGTGACGTCCAGGGCCCAGAGAAGGCCAGAGAGCTGGCACAGAGAGCTGCGGGAAGCAGGGGCCACTCCACTGCAGGCCTCCAGCCATGAGGAGCATTTGGGCCTCATCTTTGCAGCAAGAAGCCACAGAAGGGTTTTAAACAAGAACACATTGATCTGTTCCACATTTTGAAAAGATGTTCTTGGTGCATAGGCTGGTGTTAAAGGTGCTATTTGCAGCCCTGGTGCTGATTTCCCAGGTCCACGTGGGATTCCTCATTCCTGTTAAGTTACATGCAACCGGTGCTGAAAGGCTGGGATACCTCTGATTTCCAGCTACAACTGTGAAGGGCTGTTAGGACTAACCAGTCCGGTATCAGAAGCAGGGGGAGGAGTTCTAACCCTCTGAAGTTCCCCAAGCCCTGCCCCCCACCACGGCGCTCTCATGACCACGTGTCCTTCAGCGGCCACAGGAAACCCTCCTGCCGCACTGGCTTTGCTGAGCCACCTCAGGGAAGGGAAAAGCATTTCACTAGATCACACGACCAGGCGACCAGTAAAAGGGTTTCCAGGGCTCCTCGCAGGCAGACCTGGCCTCCCGACTCGCGGGCCGCACTCCCCCTCCACTACCTCCACACCGGCGAAGCTTGATGAGGGCGGAAAGTGGGGCCCTTCACACGTGAAACTGGGCCTTCCGCCCCAACCGAAGCCGTGTGGGTCCCCTGCACCCCTCATCAATCCACCTGCGTGGGAAACTGTAGTTGGCTGAATCCCTCTTATTTCAGGGAACTGCTGTGTGTATTCCAGCTGCTCTCCTTTTTCTTGGGAACAGTGAAATGCTACAACTTTCTTACTTTAGATTTCTCTAAAAAAAAAAGAATTCTCTGTGTACAGAAGAATGGACAATAATTGCAAAAACATTCATCAAAACAATAGGACTCTTATTCCCCCTGAGCGAACAGCTCCAAAAACTGACTGTACTTCACACAGGATGATGAAGCGCGGGAGCTGGATCCCACAGGCCACCTGGTGACGGTGACCACCACAGGCCACTGCTGCCCCCTGCTGGGACACAGCTGCTGTGGCTATGTAAGCCCATCACGGGGCCTCCCAAGACAGCCTGGAAGTCCCAACAAATAGCAACTCTCTATTTTTATTAAGCATGGATTTCAAATTAAAGCTATTTGCCCCAAAATGCTAATTATTCTGAAGGAAAATCCAAACATCATAATAAGTAATAAAAACCATCAAATTCCACAGCAATTCTATGATCCCAAATAGTTTTTTTAAATGACCAGGGATTATGTCTTTCTTCCTCTAACCATTTCTACAACAAAAGCCTAGACATCCAGGTTTCATCTTAATTTTAGGTTTCCTGAGAATTACGAACACATATAATCCTGTCACTTTCAAGAATATCTAACAAAAGCATTTCTAAATTGACTTAAAAAAAAAAAAGAAGGAAAATGGTATTGCACTAAAGGTCCTAAAAGTAAGAATAAATTTATCAAGCGTTGAAACATCTCATACAAAACTTAAGGCATGAATAAGAAAACAAAACAACAAAAAGTAAATTTCCTTTTTTTTAATTAAAAACCATACTGCTTATATATAGTGGCATTTCAGCAAACATCCAATTTTGCCAAGATTATTATGGCTACAGTTCCAGACTTTAAAAAGTGAAAAGGGATTTCTTTCTATGGTCTGTAAACCAACAATAACAATAAAAGCATCCCATTCTGATGGTCTTTCCAAAGGCTAAATTCAGGAAGGACCATTATCAGTAGGATGCTGCAGCATTTTCACTTTGAAAGTACATAAACAAAGTTCCACACAAGTCAGTCAACTGAGGGCAACTGCAAGTAGTCAACGCTCATCCACCGTGAAAATCAAATCAGTGCACAACTGAAGGGATGACCCACGCAAAGGGAACATCCCATTAACTTTCCCAAGTGGTTTCAGCCGGACGTGCGTGAGCAACCGTGAACACCCCAACCACATGAGACACCGGGAGCTCAGAAGGCAGTTTGCAGACCAGAATTTTTAGGGCTTGGGTAGATAACTGAGATTTTCATCTGAAGCACAAGTTTTAAAATATGACTGAATCTTTTATGATTAAACTTTCAAGGCCCTGAAGTATTTCATTAAACCAATCAACTAAAATCCAGCGGTCCCTCAGATCTCCAGAAGGCCACAGCGAGGGGCCTGCCAGAGCTGAAGGACAACCCACACATCCCAAAACCAACCAACAGGGGAGGGGAGGGTGCGTACTCACCATCTGAGGCACGCCAAAGATAACAACGTTGGAGTACTGCGAAAAAGAAACCTAAAGAAGGGGGGGAACGATTCACAGATTGATTTTAAAAGTCAAACATCAATCTCAACTCTAGTTTCAAAATGAGTAGCAATTTTCAACTTCGCCAAATAGTAGGTATTCACAAAGAGGGGACCTCTGTAAGTTTCACAAGGAAAAGAATACCATGTTCACGCTTTCATTGGTGTTACTTCAGTCCATTAGTTTTCCAAATGCTTCCCCAAAAGCCATGTCATCTCATCCTCACAGAGAGTCCACACAGGGCCCACCCCAGGGGTCATCTGTCAGAACGGCCAGTGACTCGTCCAATGACCAGCTAGCTGGTGGTTGAGCCAGTTGGGCCTGGGCCATCTGTGCCCCTGGTCCACACACTTTCTACTCAACTCCATATACACCAAACCAGCTTAGCAAGAGCTCAGGGGATTTCACAACCACCTGTTTTTTTATGTTGAACAATCCTTAAAATTCTAGTTCCCCTCTTCTCCTTTAAAATACTAAGTAAAAAACGCAATAAAATGGTCCTTAGTTTAAAAACTAGGGGGAAAAGTGCTTTGCAAGTCAAATTCTTATTGCCCTATAAAACTCTTATTTACTCTATTGAGAGAGCATTTATGCATATATGGAATAAAAAACAATGCAAGCAAAACTCAAGTGAATTTTCATTAGCCACTGATGACAGTATCACAGTGGGAAATTCTTATTTAAGAAAGAGCATTTTACGGAGCATTCCTAAAGCAAAATTACAGGGCATTTTTTAGAGGGCAAATAAACCTGGAAGGATCTGGTACTTTATGAAGACCAGAGGGAACCATGATAGCATGGTCGGTGGACTCTGTTCTCTTGCAGTTGTCTCTGCCTCTCTCTGAACACACGTCCATGCACACAGATGTACACACACACAGAGAAAAGTCTACTGCTTACCAAGAATGACATTAACAAGTTAATGCCAAATTACAATTTGTTAGATTCCAAACGAGACAATTTCACAAGAAATAAAATAACCATTTCATAACGATAAATATTATGTCATAATAAATAAAAAGTGAGAATTTGAGTAAATAAATTCTTAGAATTCACATGACCTATGATGTCATAAAGCTTAGCTTCTACTCTAAAGTAGGGGCACAATCTGTTAAATTCATCAGTTTAAATGGTGTTCACATTTCGTTATGCTGAAATATATACTTGTATTTTAAGTATTTTTCTTTTTAATACATTCTTCAGCTTTCAGTCATACTCCTTATGAATTATAAAGTTTCTGGCTGGACTTTTCCAGGACCATGGGCAGCCTTCATACCTTCCACAAGTCTGAAATATAAAACTTGGCCGAGCCCTGCACCCCCTCTCGCCAAGCGCGGTATCTGGAGTACCAGACTAGCCACGGGTTCAATTCATAACCAGCAGCCGCGAATCCTTCCTTTGCAGCCGCGATCACCTGTGGAAAGACGCCGTGTTTATTCAAAAGAAGAAGAAAAACATCCACTAACATGGTCAAATTATATGAATACTGCCTACTTATGGGCTATAATCCTAACACATCCAAGCAGAAACACTCCTTTGTTCAAGACGCCATTAAAGATGGATCTCTAGAGCTATGTAGCTTTGTGGACAGGATAACACCAGCCCATTTAAACTCAGTTTTCTCGTTTCTGTCAAAGATTTCACCCTGAGTATCAGAACTGAGAGCCAGGTTTGCTTTGTACAACTGTATAGTCAATTTTGGATTGGCCAACCCTTGTTGGTACTGACAAAAACTGGCTGAAAACCTGCCGTCTGTCTCCATCAGTGATAGCACAGCAGCGGGCGAAATGAATGGGCCTGAGAGGATGTTTTGTGAACCAGCTGTAATGCGCAATAAAAAAAACCTGTCACAGACGACCCTGCAATTAATTACATATTTCCTTAATATTTAAAGATGGTTTACTCAAAATTGAAAACGGGTGAAAGTAAAATGGAACCAGCCCCTATAAATCAATTGCAGAATGCCACCAGCCTCCGTCAGGTGAGAGGGACGAGGGCTGGTCCTGGGGTCTCTCTGCTCCTTCTGTCTTGCCATCACTCTCCAAGGGAGCACCCCTGAAGGAGCTGTCACACCTCCAGTAATTTCCCGAGTAAATATAGTGTCGCCCCTTTAAGAAGGAAGCCATTTTCTAAGAAACGATAAAGATACCATTGAGGTCTGTAAAGCATTCAAACCTGGATTTAGAAACTTCCTCCTGATAAATATATACATTTTCTGATTTCTTACAAACAAAGCAAGTGATTGTTTAAGCTCTTCCTGATAGTTCTGGTCACCATTAAGAAATTGCAGGGGCTGGTAAGGGTGTCATGGCCCTACTGGCCTCCGGAACACTAGCCTTCACTACCCCTATCCTCACTTTTCAGCCCATCATCGGGGTGGAGGCCTAAGGATGGTGCCACCTCGCCCAGGGAGGAACGTGCTCTGGGACACCCGTTGGCCAGTCAGGGGCCCCCAAGTCTTTACTTACAGGCTCCCAGCTGGGGTCGAAGTGAGCTGAGGTCACTAAAAGCCTGAGGTTAATGTACTGGTTCTTCCCTATTTTAACTGTACATTACCCCACAGGAATTATTATCCATAGATAAACATGGATAAACATAGAAGCAAATATTTATGGTGCAAAAATGTAAAATAGTTAAACTCCACAATTTAACATGTTTCTTCTGGATATGCCACCTCTATTGGCCCAAGTTGGGTTTTTGTTTGTTTGTTGTTGTTTGATGAGGAAGATTGTCCCTGAGCTAACATCCGTGCCCATCTGCCTCTGTTTTGTATGTGGGACTCCGCTACAGTGCGGCTTGATGAGCAGTGTGTAGGTCCACACCCAGGATCCGAGCCTGAGAACCTTGGGGTGCCAGAGCAGAGACCACGAACTTAACCACTATGCCACCAGGCCAGCCCCCTGGGCCAAGTTTTTTTAATGGACAATTTCATAATTACCAATTAATTGTTCCTTTTTATCTGGCATATCTGCAGAGCACTTTCTCCTTTTAGAAAAAATTAAATCTGAGAAAAATAAATTCCAAATTCATGCTGGAGGATTTGATAGTTCACCCAAACACAAAATTAAATGACCACTTTATTAAACAGCCAGATTTAGCAAGTATTTGCATAAGCCTCATAAGAAATGTAACAGAAACTTTAACGGTCCTGGTTCCAAACCTTAAAACTGTCTGAACCTCACTCACAATCCGTCCGTCGCCGCTGCCGACGTCTACCACGGATCCTCTTCTGCCTCGCAACATTTTCACAACATTTTCGATCTGCTTTGTAGTTGCGGGAACAAAAGGCAAACAAATTCTTCGGAGGGCTGGTGTTATAAAGGGTGTGGCCACAGCATACACGGCCACCAGCGTCCCACCAACGATCCCGGTAAATAAGAACCCCCAACTGCTCTTCTTCACACAGCTGGCTTCAAGACCTGGAGGCGGCACACATCCCAACTGGCCTTCTTCTCTAAGTGTTTCTGGGGGCGCACCTGGACCAAGAGCAAGCAGAGAAGACACGTGGCACCAAAGCTGAAATGCAAGGTAGTATTGTTTCCTGCAATTCCTACTGACGAATAAACTCATGCCTTTTAAAGAAGGATAATTTAGCTGAATACCATCTAAATTACAAATGTAGGATTCCACAGTGAGTTCTAAATTCCATCAACTAAATTAAAGTGTTTTAAAGAAAATTATTTGATACTAACGAAAGACTAAAATCTTTTCTAACGTATTTTTTTCATGTGCATGTGTCTCTAGGAGTTATCCTTAGAAAACAATGTACTCAAACCGATTTGGCATTTTATGAATTCAATATCCACTTATACGAATCCTAACCACACTCCCTATTTTTACGGTTCAAAACAAAGCCTCATAAACAAACGAGCAAGAAAATGTCTAATTACTACCCTATTTCAAATAGGATGAAAGTACCCCACATCAAAATTGGTCAGGCACTTATAATCCAGTTGCACAAATACAATTTTGAAATAATAGAGAAGACAAAACTCAGATTTTATTAAAAATCTTAAATAATCATGGTAATAAAGAGATTTCTAAAGCAGACCCAAAAAGAACAAAAAATAAATAATCACTTCAGTGCTATCACGAGTATGGATTAAAGCACACTCCAATCACTCATTACAGAGAAATGAACGTTACCTTAAATATCCTCTTCCTGAGTTTTATCTTTAAAATGTATTCGTTTTTCTTGTTTTTTTTTTTTTTTTGCTGAGGAAGATTTGTCCTGCGCTAACATCTGTTGCCACTCTTCCTCTTTTTATGCTTGAGAAACATTAGCCCAGAGCTAACATCTGTGCCAAACTTCCCCTATTTTGTATGTGGGTCACTACCACAGCATGGCTTGATGGGATCCAAACCCGCAAACCCAGGCCACCGAAGCAGAGTACACCAAACTTAACCACTAGGCCATAGGGCTTGCCCCAATAAAACAGATTCCTAACAGGATCTCAAGGTTTTTTTCAGATTGAAATTGATTTGAAATTAATTCTGAAATTGACTAATGATGAGCACTGCACTGCAGGTAAGAACAGGACTCCTCTGGAGCCTGCCGAGCTCAGGACGCCAGCTCTGTTCCTTAAAGTGTGACCCTTCAGCTCTCTGAACCTCAGTGTCCTCGTCTGTAAAGTGGGGATCGTGGGTTGTTGTGAGAATGAAACCAGTGGATACGGGTAAAGCACTGAGAACAGTGCCCAGCACTTGAACCCCACAGGACCATGACCATCCTGCCCCGAAGCAGCTCACAGTCTGGCTGACAAGCTAAGACCAAAAACACAGGAATCCGAGGGAAAAGGAGGGTGAGAGAGAGGACAACAGATTCTTGTCACTCAAAGATGTTAACGTTCATAGTTTCAGTACTGTGAGCTGTTCGAAAGGCCCATTGTATGAGTTTCCTGTTGCTGCTGTAGAAATTACCAGAAACTTAGTGGGTTAAAAGCACCCACACTTATCATACAGTTCTAGAGGTCAGAGGTCTGAACTGGGCTGGGAGAGCTGCGCTCCTTCTGGAAGCTCTCGGGTGGGATGGATGCTCACCTTTTCCTGCTTCTAGAGGCTGCCTGCATTCCTTGGCTAGTAGCTCCACGTCACTCTAACCTCTGCTTCCACCACGACCCCTCCTCTGACACCCCTGCCTCTCTCTTTCCTTTATAGGAAAAGAATCCTTTCCTAGTGATTACATTGGGCCCACCAGACAAGCCAGGATAATTTCCCCATCTCCCAGTCCTTAAGGTCATCCCATCTGCAAGGTCTCTCATGCAACATACTCCCAGGTTCCAGTGGTGGATAGGATGTGGACACATTTGGGGGGGGGGGGGGGTAGTCATTATTCCCAGCTACTATACCCATGAAATGTGGTCATCTGATACAACTTTGGTGAGGTACAAATGTGAACATAGGACCCACCAGAGCTGGCCCACTGCAATGAGTCACTGCCCCAGGGCAGCAGACCAACCACCAGTACGGCTTTGTTCTCGAAGCCTGAGGTCCCTGAAGTGAGTTTTAAAACTGGTTTCATAGTGGAAAACCAACCCAGAAACCACAAAAAGTCTACTGCTGATGCTAGGGATGGAGGTGACCTAAAAGTAGTTTGGGACGGTGATGGTGTTTGAGAGAAATCCAGAGTTTTAAACACCTTTTCATTCACGCTTTCCAGCATCCTATGGAGAAACTTACATGCTACAGTAGTAATCACACATTTGACTGTTTTTGTGAAAGTCAAGGCACGCCCAGCACGCCTGGTGTAAACTTATCCTGCAGGTGCTCCAGCTGCACAGTACAGGCATCAGGGGTTTGAGTGACACAGCCTCAGCACCTAACTAGTTGTGTAACATACGGTAAGTTGTGGCTAAGGCTCGGTTGCCTCACCTGTAAGACTGAGAAATACTACTATCCTCATAGTTACTGGGACAGTTAAGTAAGTAATGCAGACGAAGCCCTTAGCACCAGCCTGAGGGAGTGAGTGATGCCTGTTAGCTGCACGGTTATTCTCGATACTATCATGGGGTGGGGCTCAACAATTCTTAACACCTCTATTGAGAAGTAATTTATATACCATACAATTTGCCCATTTAATGAGTACAATTCAAAGGTTTTTAGTTTATTTATAGATATGTGAAACCATCACCAAAGCCAAATTTAGGACTTTGCCATTACCTCAAGAAGAAAGCCCTAATCGTTTAGCCATCATCCCGCTTCACGCTCCCCCTAACCCCCGGGATCCAGGCAACCACTAACCTACTTTCTGTCTCTACAGAGCTCCCTAGTCTGGACTTTCATGAGCAGAATTACATAGTATGTGGGTTTTTTGTGACTGCCTTTTTTCACTTAGCATAATGTTTTTAAGAGTCATCCACCTTATACCATGTATCAGTAATTGCTCCTTTTTACGGTCAAATATTCCATTGTATAGATATACTATACTTGGTTTATCCATTTGCCTGTTGATGGACAGTTTCTCTAGTCAGCATAAGCCAGCAGGCAGTTGATGGGACAAACTCGAGTCAGACGATCCAAATTCTACTTCACCTGTATAGACATCTACTCTCAATTTACCCAGCAAAAGGTATAATAAAGAGCTCCTGGTCTCCAAGGACCCCATCCAGCTTACATGAGCGGTGGGGTCCAGTTGAGACAGTGACAAGGCAGGTTGTGAGAAAGGATCAATGTGTACAAAACACTGGGAAGATGGGAGGAGGAGGAAAGACTCATCCCAAGGATGGACCCGGGAAGGTGTTGACGGACAGAGACAGAACTTGAGCTGGCCACAAGGGTGCTGGGAAAGGGCGTTCTCAAAAGGACGCCCTGGAACCAAGGCCTGGAAGGTGGGGAAAGCACCTGCAGAGCACAGAGTGGGAGGCACAGCAGGACAGCAGGGGAGGCCCGGATGCCGGGCGAAATGTGTATTTTCTTCTTGCGGCACTGGGGATGAAACTTTTTGAGCAAAGTCACTACAATATTTGTGTTTTTAAGAAAGGCAACACCAGCAGCAGGGTGTCCCTTGATGAATCACTGAATTCTCTGTCTCAAGTTTTTACACCTGCAAGTCTTTCAACTTCACAAAAATTTGTATGAGCTTTTGGAGAAGTTACTATGTAAACCGAATACATGACTACATTGTTACCTCTGTTCAATAAAAAATGCATGGATTTTTATCAGCGAAAACCAGTCCCTAAAGATTCAAAACTAAAACCAAACACGCCACAACTAGAAGGATCTGCAATTAAGATATACAACTATGTAAGGGGGGTGGGGTTTGGGGAGACACAGCAAGAAAAAAAAAAAAGGTTGGCAACAGTTGATGGCTCAGGTGCCAATCTTTAAAAAAAAAAAAAAACTAAAACTAAAGTCAAGACTATTTCTATAAATTTCTAATCCTTTGGATGTAATGTGTTGGATTCCTATCTACTATGATATAAATAAATGACATAAGATTTCTGTCAGACATGCTCTTTCGAATATCCCAGCATTCCATTTGAGGAGAGCTGTGGTGGCCATTGGCTATTTTTGTTGGGCTCTTGGAGGGAATCAGTCCTTGCAAATAAAAGATCCAAAGAGGTGAACTTCTGTTGTGTCCAGGCTTGCTCAGTTACTTTTTTTTTTTTTCCTGTGAGGAAGATTGTCGCTGAGCTAACATCTGTGCCAACCTTCCTCTATTTCATGTGGAATGCGGCCACAGCGTGGCTTGACAAGCAGTGCTACGTCAGTGCCAGGGATCTGAACCTGCGAACCCCAGGCTGCCGAAGCAGAGCACGCAAACTTAACCACTATGCCACCGGGCCAGCCCCCTAACTTCTGAGAATGGTTGAAAATGTCAATTTGCAGTGACAGATTTAGATCAGCTAAAGCTAGAGGCAGTGACAGACGTACAAAAATGTACAGGGGGTTCTTATCCAAGTTCAAGACAAAGGAAAAAGGTCAGGAAGAAAGAATAGGCCTGTTTGGAATTGTGACCTGCCACATGTGCTTAAAGTGGGGTTTATATGTGAATGTTACAACATTTAAGGGCTGTTCATTGTCTACTTGCAGATGCACACATATATTTTTTGGTCCCTTAAGAGGCCTTTCTGGTACTGGTCTAATGCCATTTATGTCCTTTTAATATACAGCACCTGTTGATATTATGAAAAACTTCCCCCCCCCCTCCCCGTTTTGACAAGAAATAAACTGTGTAGAGGATATCATTAGACATTTCCTATACTCCACAACCATCTAATGAGCCAAAGGGACTGCAGAATTCGCCATTTTGAATAAGGAAACACTGAAATAGCCCGGCTAAAGCGAATTGAGACCTGACTCCAAAACGTAAAATGTCCTTGGAGCATCTCTCGAAGTCTAGAGAGGAAGCGGGCCAAGCATCGGGAGAGGTTACATGATCACCAACCATCCAGTGACAAAGCCAGTTCTTGACTTTCAGGCCGGGGTCAAATGTTACAACCCATGCATTCATCTCAACATTTGAGTATCTAAAAAAGGCCAGGAATGGTACCAACAGGGTAAGTCCTTGTTCTATGGTCGCTGGGGTGCAGGAAGGCTGGAAACCTATAATAAATCCAAGCCTGCAAAATACTAGGCCGTCATCAGTGCTCTAAAGAAGGGTTTTAGACGACCGGGCACTATTTAATTAAGGGTTGCCAGGAAAAGCTTTCCCAGGGAGCACGATGCCGAGCTTGAGACTGGGGCCCTTAGGCGAGGCTGTGCAATTTTCCTTCTTATTGGCTGGCTGCATATCCTTGGGCAAATTACTGGACCATCTGCGCCAAAGGAAGATTTCTTCAGCAAACACTTCGAGCTTGCTAAGAGCCCGGCACTGTTCTTCCCGAATCCGTACGGCAGATATGTGAGGTAGATACTATTGTTACAACTACCATTTTTGCACACAAGCAAACTGCACCACCAAGAGGTTATGTCACCTCCCGAAGAGCCAGCTAGTAAGTGGCAGCAAGGATTCCAACCCAGACAGTGGGCCTCCAGCACCCGTACCTCTTAAGATCGTGCCCAGAACTGAGTCGTTCACCCCAAGGCCCTCAGAACAGCTCCCAGGCCCGAGACCTCTAAGTCCCAGCGAACGCACCGCGCCACCACCCGCAGACTGGGCACCTGGGAGCCCCGCGGGGCGGAGGGCGCGGCGGCCGGAGCCCCGAACAACGGTCTCCGAGCCAGGGCAGCGGCCAGCGCCTCCCACTCCCGCCCGCCCCCGATACAAACGGGCCGGACGGCAGGACGCCGGCAGAGCGCGAGCCCCACGCCGCGCCCAGGGCCGCAGAGCCCGCCGTACGCAGCCGGCCTCACCTCCGCCTCGCTCCATCGCGAGAGTTCCGGCGGGGGGGGGGCGGGGGGGGGGCGGGGGGGGGGAGGGTAGGAGGAATCCGGAAGTGGATTCTACCATCTTCCCGGAGCCGGAGCGGGAAGGAGGGAGAAAATGATGCTCTCAGTAAATGAGTTCCTCGGTGGGACCCACTATCCAGAAACCTTCAATTATACAGCTTTAAGAAATGACTGAATTCGAGCTACTCCTGGTTTGTGGGTTCTAAAGTTCCCGTCCGTGTCTTCGCACTTCCCCCCGCAGCTTCCTAGATAGAAGTTTCCGAAGGCTGCTGATTCCAGAAGGTACGGTCTGGCGTTAAACTAGTCTCAAGTGGAAAATAAGTCTCGCGCAACCTGTGCTGCGCATGCGCGAGCGGTTGCTCCCTCCCGCGAGAGTAAAGTGTCTTCTTGCTTCCGGAGTGGTCTTCGCCGGTTGCGGATAAGTAGTGTTTGTTGCTGTACCATGGCGTCCGTTGGGACTCTCGCCTTCGATGAATATGGGCGCCCCTTCCTCATCATCAAGGACCAGGACCGCAAGTCTCGTCTTATGGGACTTGAGGCCCTCAAGGTAACGGGAGCGGGACACAGTGGCGCTGAGATGAGGGGAGGTGGCCGAACCCAGTGGCTCTGCGCCTGCGCAGGCCTGGGAGCGGTTCTGCCATGTGCTCCCGGGAAGGCCAGAAGGGCCCGCGCGTCCCCACTCGCGCTCCCCGCTCCTTGGGCTCGGGGAGGCCGACATATATGCTTTTAGTCCCAATTTGGCGGTGGGGTGGAGCCGCCAGCACCGTTCTGAGTCGGATGGGGCGGCTTCAGTTCCTAGGCGGGGAACCCCCGTCCGTCCTCCTTTCTGCAGTCCAGCAGTCAGTGTTGTCATGGGCAAGGTGCGGAGAAGGTGGTCCCAGGTCACCTGGCCGGTGGAGACTCTGCTTCTTAATCCTCCGTTAGTCTACCTGCAGCAGCCCTAAAAGTAATGGAGGTTCATTTTCTTTGTCACCTCCTGAAAGCTTAGTCGTTTACCGAGTATCTTATCTTTGAGTACCTTTATGCGTGGCGTATTCCTGCATGCCGTGTCATAAAAATAAAAAGTGTGCATCCTTAAGGAAGAAAACAGTACCGCAAGAGCGAGAAATGCACATCAGTAACCGTAATGCAAGGCACTGCGTGATCAGAATCACAGTTACGGGACAGGATGCAGATAAAAGTTGGAGAGTGTCCTTAAGACCCTCTCTAGTTGGATGGAGACGCGCTTTTGATCGGGGATGGAATAATGTTTTGAGTGGGAGAGACCTGGCGTTCTACAGGGAGGAACAGTAAAAGCAAGGACCTGGGCGGGAAAGGGTTAGGGTTTTGATGGAGCACAGTCTACTTTAAGTCAGGATAGTTCCCAAAAGTGGAAGCCTGCGCATGTCTCACGATCGAGATGTTCTCCCATGGGTAGGAGGGGAGCCATTGAGGGGGTTTGCTCAGAATCAGGATTTAAGTGGAGCTAGACCTTAAGTAGTAGCCTGTAGGGTAGACTGAAGGAAATCAGGCAGACCAGGGATGTTAAATGCAGCATTGCAGGTGTCCAGGTAAGGAGGGGTCTGCTGAGCACATGCTGACAGGAAACAGGAAGGGGCACTTCGAGAGGGCACTGACTTCTTTAGGATTTGTTATAAAGTGGAAGAATCCACTGTATTGATGCGGATTGTCACCACATCTGAGGTGTCCCTATTGGCTTAGCGTCTTGGGGTTTTTCTTAAACAAATGAAGAAACAGTAGAGTTCTCCCAGAGACTGTTTGTTTCACTGAGAACAAGTTACACAACCTCTCTGAACCTCCTTTTTCAGCAGGGGTAATACACCTCTGTCAAGCTGAGGATGAAAATTAAAGGTGGGTAATATAAGGGGTGGCCACACAGTGCTTGAACCATGGCAGGTGCTCAGTCCACATGTATTACATATTCAGTTCTGTTTTTCACTTAAAGGGACCAGCAGAGAAAGTAACATGCAATACACACGTCCAGTATAATAGTGCAGTGGAAGCTGCTGGTTACTTTGCATGAGCCACTGTTTTAATCGCTCTCATTGCATTATTTCATGTAATCCTCACACTCAGAGTTAGATGTTATTTCACTGTATTGGAAACTTGGCCCCAGAACTGTTAAGCAATTGCTTAAAGTCACAGGGCCATGACTGAAGCCCCGTCTGTCTCCCTCCAGAGCCGGCGGTCTACAGCAGGGCTTTTCAGCCTTGGCACTATTGACGTTTGGGCCAGGTCCTTCTTTGTTGTGGGGCCTGTCCTGTGTAGAATGTTTAGCAGCATCCCTGGCCTCTGCCCACTCCCTGCCAGTAGCAGCTCCCTCCCCAGTAGTGACAACCAGAGATGTCTCCTGGGGGACAAAATTGCCCCTGGTTAAGAACCACCTCCCTACAATTATTATTCTTTAAAAATGTCGTTATACAGACATATCAATCCAAGTGTATTTTAAGGATTACCAGTGTTTTCACAGACTAGTGAACTTTGTGTCTTTTGTTACCTGCCAGATGGGCAAGCAGGGAAGGCTTCACAGAACGTGTACATTTGAACTGCTTTGAGGGCCAGCCCTGTGGCATAGTTGTTAAGTTCTGCATGCTCCACTTCAGCGGCCCTAGGTTTGGGATTCAGATCCCGGGTGTGGGCTTACACCACTCTTCAGCCATGCTGCGGTGGCAACCCCCGTACAAAAAAGAGGAAAGTTGGCACAGATGTTTGAGGGCGAATCTTCCTCAGCAAAAAAAAAAAAAAAAACTTTTGAAAGTTGGACAAGATTTTGATGGGTACAAGGCCTCTGTGCATCACTATGTCAGGGATCAGAGGACATGTTTGGGGAACAAGAATAGACCATCCTCACTGGAAGGGAGCTGGGTCTCAGATTGTGGAGGGCGTTAAAGACAAAGCTGAAGCTTTTGGACTTGCGTGTTGAGCCTGTGGGGAGTTGTTTAAGGTTTGGGGACTAGTAAGCAACATGTTTGAGAAAAATGGATGGCTTAGCTAGATGTAGGATGAATTGGAAGGACGGTAGGTGAGATAAGAGACGCAGGAATTCTGTAGGGTGCTATGGATCAGGCTTAGATCGGTGATGGCAAGAATAGAAAGAAAGGAAAGGAAATTTGGAGGATTAATGGGCATAATAATGTGTAGAAACAGAAAAGGGTTCTTTGAATCCTCCATTACTTTCGGTATTGATACCCTTGGCAGGTGACAAGCAAGGGTGACTGTGAAGCCTGTGGGTTTCTCAGTGGCTCGACCGTTTGAGAGAAGAGTACGTCTCTGCAGTACATGGTAGTGTGGCAGTTCAGGGTGCTGTGTGTTTACGCTGGAGTCTTCACGTGAAGGTGGCGTTGTGAAGTGGTCATGTGAGGCCTGTCAGGTCAGACTGTCGCTGCGCTTGACTGTGAGATGGGGCGGTAGGCGAACCTGCCTCGTCCATGTGTCGATTCTAGAGGGCAGACTATGTTATAAGTGATTTTATAATCATCAACTGTATGCTTTTAACTGTTAAAATTGTATGTACTTGAATATTTGTTTCTTGTATTTGCTTGATTTAGTCTCATATAATGGCGGCCAAGGCTGTAGCCAATACGATGAGAACATCGCTTGGACCAAATGGTAAGAGTCTCTCATTCTGTGTTGTTTTAACAAAAGTTTTAAAATCGTAAAATAGTCAATATTATCTCTTTACAAAAATTTGGGAAGTGGAGTGAGGGCTTCCTGCTCCCCTAATACAGCCAAACTTGTTTGGTGTATTGCAGCCTTTAAACACAGTTATAATCATAACATGTGTCCAGTTTTAGGTCAGATTTGTTTTCCACTTAACGTCATTGCATAAGTATTTTGCAAATCATAGCCATCATCTTCTGTGATTAATATTACATGTAGTGATGCTCCATAATATTTTTTTTGCCATTTCTCTGCTTTTAGCCATTTTAGATTATTCCCAGTGTTTTGCTTTATATTGGCCAATCTGAAAGTGTCTTCATGCAGATACTCCTTTATGTATGTTGAATTATTTATTTATAATAAATTCCTAGGTGGGTATTGGGTCAAGAAGTCTAACTTTTATTATTGTTTTTGGTATAGATTGCCATTCTTTTTTTTTTCGGTTAAGATGTTCTAAACATTGCTGTCTTTTTAGGGCTTGATAAAATGATGGTGGATAAGGATGGCGATGTGACTGTAACTAATGATGGTGCCACCATTTTAAGCATGATGGATGTCGATCATCAGATTGCCAAGCTGATGGTTGAACTGTCCAAATCACAGGATGACGAAATTGGAGATGGAACCACAGGAGTGGTTGGTAAGAAAGGGCACGATATCCTTTCCCGTTTAAGAGAGGTTGTTTGAATCACAGCACTAACGTGGCTGCTGAGAATGTTTACTCTGAATCAGCTGAGGAGACAGTTGGAGAAATCCAGGGTGAAGGACACACTACAAAACAAGTGGCCCAGACTCCTCAAAGCTGCCATGTCGTGAAGAAACAGGAAGGCCACGCCATGGGGTAGAGTTAGGCATCTGTTCTAGATTAATGGAGCTAAAGAAAGGTGACAGCCAGCTGTACTGTGTAGAACTTGGTTGGATGTCTGGGTTTTTTTAAGCTATGAAGGATGCTTGGGACAAGTGGAGGAGTTTGTGGATCACGTATTACAGAAGAGTGTCATTGTTAAGGTTCCTTAGCATCATGTGACAGCTACCGTGCAGTGATTGGGAGAATGCCTTTGTACTCGGGAGCTGCATGCTGAAATATTTAGGGGTGACATCCCATGATTTCTGCAACTGATGCTCAGTTGAACAGAAAAAGCACATGCATATGTGGAAAAAACAAATATGGCAAAATGTTCTTAAGTAAACAAGTGTTCATTTTACTATTGTATTTTTTTCCTGAAGGTTTAAAAAGTTGGGGAAGATTGAAGAGATAAATATCTTTAATGTTACCTTTTCTGCAGATGAAATTTGAATTTGTCTATTCAACAAATATTTATTGAGTACCAAGTACTGTTCTAGATGTGCTTAGAGTGCAGCAGTACTAAAACATCTTTGTGGCACTAAAATGGGGGGGAAGGGAAGGTTATAAGAGGGGGATAAATAATAAACACATTTTTAAATCCTCTTATCACCAGCATGAATTTTACTGAATAGAAGTCTTTGACCCAGGAAGTGAAAGAGGCTTTTCCCCTTATAGAAATGTGTAAGTTACATTTAGTACACGTACATCATGTATAATGTACATTATAGTTACACTCTTTACCTCACTGAGAGTTGATCATCCATCTATACAAAGAGACCTAATGACCTTTGCTAGAGTCAAAACAAAAGACTGCCCTTTTAAAAATAGGTTCGATGGCGTCATCCTCTAAGATACTTTCAGTTTAATTCTGGAACCTTTGTATTTCCAGGGTAGCATCTAATTTGTACTGATTATACAAGTTTTGGCGTTTTCTTGAACCAGTTTTGCGCTGTCTTGTCTGCAGTCCTGGCTGGTGCCCTGTTGGAAGAAGCCGAGCAGCTGCTGGACCGTGGCATTCACCCCATCAGGATCGCCGACGGCTATGAGCAGGCTGCCCGCATTGCCATCGAGCACCTGGACAAGATCAGCGACAGAGTTTTTGTTGACATAAGGGACACCGAGCCCCTGATTCAGACTGCGAAAACCACGCTGGGCTCCAAAGTGTAGGTTTACAACAGGGTAACAGCGTTTATAGAGGAGGCAAAGCTGTTTACTTGTTCCTAAAGGCAACACAAAATGATCACGGATCACTTCATGCTGATTTGATGAGTTTCTTTCTGGATTTGTTTTGGTTTTGCTTTGTTTTCAGAGTAGTTTTAGACACATGCATTTCATGTCTCAATTGGAAGCTGAACTTCCAGGCTTGGGTATTAAATCCTCTCAACAATATTTGTAAAATAAATAATCCTTTAATTTAGCAGGATGGGCTGCATTGGCAATCAACCAGAAAAGGACCCTATTTGGGGAACCTGTTAGTTTTCACAACACTTTTTTTTTTTCCTGAGGAAGATTGTCCATGAGCTACTGTCTGTACCAGTCCTCCTCCACTTTATTTGTGGGTCAGCGCCACAGCTTGGCTGATGAGCAGTCTAGGTCTCCCCGCCCAGAATCTGAACCTGTGAACCCAGACCACTGAAGTGGAGCATACCTAACTTAACCACTATGCCACAAGGCTGGCCCCCTCATAACACTTTTTAGCCGTTTCTGTACTAGGAACCCATTTAGGGGGAGCTTCCACTATTCATTCATTCAACAAGCGAATTCCTAGTCCTGAATTTTAATTTTATAAAAAGGGGCAGTCTTAAAATTTACTTACATTGGGTATAATGAATGTTACATTTCAACGTTTACATAATATCTACAATTTGCCAGGCCTGCTGCCAAGTCGTGGGGGCACAAGACAGTTCTTGCCTCCCAGAAACTCAAAGTAGCCTCAACCAAGGGACCTGCTTATTTTGAACAATAATAGAGACTTATGGACTCTCTTTATTTTTAAGAAGAATTATGGCCATAATGTAGCATAGAAATTCAGTGTAAGGTGCTTTATTACACCTTTTTTTTTTTTGCTGAGGAAGATTAGTCTTGAGCTAACATCTGTGCCAATCCTTCACTTTATATGTGACTCACCACCACAGCATGAGCTGACAAGTGGTGTAGGACTGCACCCAAGATGCAAACCCAGGCTGCCAAAGCAGAGTACACCAAACTTAACCACTACACTGCAGGACCAGCCCCTACACTGTTTTTTCAATCTATAGCAGTGCAGGAAATGTTTTAGTTTTTAATTTGTGTGGTAGTTTTAACAAAAGGAAGGCACGGTCTTGTCTGATAGGAAGTGCAACAAAAGTGTCTGTCTCTGGTGCCTTCTCTTCTCAGGGGAAGGACATCCACCCAGCACTGTGTTGGATCAGGGGCGTCTTCAGTGGTGCCAGCTGTCCTCTCATCCGTGTCTTAGCTGAGCCTGGCTCCTGGGCAAGGGCACCTGCCCTGGGGTGGCTTCTGTCACAAGCAGAGCACTATTTTCCTCGTAGGTGGAAGGCATTACCCTTTCTTAAAATGCACAAATCTTATTTTATTACTGCTTTATAAGTTGATTCTACTCTATTTGCGAGTCTTTGTAAAACCCAAGTGGGCCGGCCTGGTGGGGCAGCAGTTAAGTGCGCATGTTTCACTTTGGCGGCCCGGGGTTCACTGCTTCAGATCCTGGGTGCAGACATGGCACTGCTTGGCAAGCCATGCTGTGGCAGGCATACCACATAGAAAGTAGAGGAAGATGGGCACGGATGTTAGCTCAAGGCCACTCTTCCTCAAAAAAAAAAAACCCAAGTATGTCCACGTCTTTACTACAGAAAATACTCAAATTGATAGATGATAGCCAAATATATCCAACATAAAGCAATACATTGTAGATCACCTGTTTAGGATACTAACAACATTTTTAGTTTCAGGGGTATCTTTTCTGCATGACTTAAGATTTCAGACACTGTATTTCAAGTACTAGATTTCCTCTGTGGTTTTTCCAGAATAAAAAGTAAATTTATTGAGCAGTCTATTCAGATGTTTCAAAGGTATTCAGATGTTTCAAAGCTTTCAGAAAAGCTAACATCCCCGATCTGTAACTGATGTCGTAATGGAAACTCCTGTGGGGGTCAGGTGCCCTGTCCGGTCCCTCCTTTCTCAGTAGGTGTTTGGCCTCAGTAGATATGATGGACTTTTCCTGGTGGTTTCATAGCTTTCCCATTCTGTTTTGGACTTGTAAAATAGAAAAAATATTCTTAAAGAGTAGCAGAATCTTGAAAATCTTCGTTCTTGCCATACATCATTGGTCTCTCGTATATATTAATAATGGAAGAAAATAGTATATTTCAGTTAAAGTTGGTGAAAGTAAAAGTGTAAATTTTTTCCCATTCCAATTTATGGTTTCCTTTGGGGTCCGTGGGTCCCAGGTTAAGAATCCTTGCCCCAGACTGTTGAAAGCACAGGGTGTGATGCCATTGCCTCCTAGGGACTCTGCACGTCACTCGCTTTCTAGATGTCTTGGAGTTACAGAACTGCATCTTGTATTTGAGTTGCCACGTTACGTCGTGTGTGCTGCTTTTTTTGAGGTGATTGTTAAACGGATGTGAAAGGCTCTTCTGTGTTTTTCTCAGGGTTAACAGCTGTCACCGACAGATGGCCGAGATCGCTGTGAATGCCGTCCTCACCGTAGCAGACATGCAGCGCAGAGACGTTGACTTTGAGCTCATCAAAGTGGAGGGCAAAGTGGGTGGGAGGTTGGAGGACACTAAGCTTATTAAGGGTGTGATCGTAGACAAGGATTTCAGTCACCCACAGATGCCGAAGGTAAGTTGGTGCCTTTCACAGCCTCCCCTCTGGGAACGCTTCAGTCCGCCCATTCACCTTTCTCCCTCTCCCCATAGCAAGTGGAAGATGCCAAGATTGCAATTCTTACATGTCCATTTGAACCACCGAAACCAAAGACGAAGCATAAGCTGGATGTGACCTCTGTGGAAGATTATAAAGCCCTTCAGAAATACGAAAAGGAGAAGTTTGAAGAGATGATTCAGCAAGTAAGTCTTACCATAGCTGTTGGTGGGATCTGAAAGGGCGCAGGTGGTTGGCTGCAGGGAGTCAGGACGTGTGGTACTCACCTGCGTGATCTTGGCACTTCATTATGGGGCTGTAAATAGCATTTCTTCACTTTTAAATTAAAAAGTAATAAACATTCACAGTGGGAAAAAACCAAAGGACACAGAGGCAGGAGGGGGCAAGCAGTCTGATCTTGTCTTAAAACGGGAGCGTGTCTGGGGCCTGAAGGAGCTGGCTCCATTGCCTTGAGAGCTGCGCTTGTTTCACACACGTGCCCTCCTGGGCGCTTCTGCGCTGCTACGTTTGGGCAATTTTAACAGGCTCTACCCACGTATTTGAGACCTCCGAATATAACTCCTGACAGGAGAGTTACTGAGTAACAGGAATTAAACCAGAATGCAGTCGTGGTGATCTCAGTTCTTTGCTTAACCAAGTTGGAGTGTTATTTTGTAAACACTGACTCTTCCCCTCTGGCTGTTTGTATTTCACATGTGTGTGCTCTCTGACGGAGCGGTTCCTCTGTGGGACTCTGTCCTTGGGAGCTTAAAGCACCAGTGCCCGAGGATACGTGAAGGATATTTAGACGTCTAGTCTTAGGGGGGTAGTTGAACTCACGGGTTCCTTCGTGGTGCAGTTCCCTGTGTCTCCTGTCTCCCAGGCCCTGTTGCAGCCCTGGAGATACATGAGTGAGCAAAGCAGAGCGCTTGCTGTTGGGGTGCAGACTGGGGGAAGGGGTCGGGGCTCTGAACAGACACTGGTCGGAGAAGGCACCTCTGAGGAGATGGTGTGTGGCCAGAGACCTACGTGAGGTGAGAGGATGGCATTTCTGGGTGAGCAGCATTCCAGACTGAGACAAGGTAGGGGTGGGTGGCATGTACAAAGGCCCTGAACAGGAATGTGGTTGGCATGTGCAGGGAACATCAGGGCTGGGGCTTGGAGCATACTGGCAGGAGTTTGCAAATAAAAGCCCATTATCTGGGAAGGCTGACAGAGGTGCACTGGAGGAAGGGTAACAAGAACTGAGAGGCCAAGGGTGTGGGTGGACCGACTTGGTAGATGTGCAGGTAGCAGAAATGATAACAGGAATAGTGATGGGCTAAATGCCAGCACTTTAAAAGGAGGAGAGGCAGTGACCCAAGAAGAAACGTTGTAGGTGGCTGTGAGGAGCAAGAAGGACCTGTCTCCTATGTTGAGCACCTGGGAGAAAAAAGCCATTGAGGAGGAGTGCCAGGCAGGTTGATTCTTCAGGAGACAGCCAGGGTTTGTTCACAGCAAGAATATAATGGCAACATTGCAAGAAGGAGTCTGCTGTTAATGGACTGAGTTCCAGGGGCTCCCCCTGGAAGGTTCTAGAGGGCCGGGGAGGGAAGAGAGGTAGAGAGGCAGGTGTGGCAGGTGGTTTGGGAGGCTTGCGTGGAGACAGGTGAAATAGCAGTTGTGGGGCATGGCACTGTTACCGCAGGTGACTGCCAGGGAGGGACAGTCAGTCCTGATCATGGCCACCTTTGGGGGACAAGTCCCAGCCATTTGCGGAGATGGGGGTGGTACTTCTCATTAGGAGCAGGATCACTTCTTTCAGCTTCTAAATTACTCTGTATTTTGACCCAGAGGATAGAGGATAGTCCACTCAAGTAAGGAAAGCAAGGTGCAGGGACGTGTGTATCTTAAGATTCAGTTTTTGTTACACACACCGATGAAAGTGCCTCGTGGGTGTTTGTGACAGGACAGTGGTTAACCCTGGTTCCCTGGGTCAGAGGGCCCAGCGCTGGTGAGACAGCTTTTGTTTTGCTTCACTGTAGCAGTGGGGTCACTGTGAATTACTAGTTTATAAAGCATGGTTTTTAAAAATGGAGTGATTCCCACTGATGTGTATTCCTTGTTTAGAACTTGGGACTGACCGAAGGTAGACACTTGTATATTTTCTTCTGGTTTCTCTGCTTCGTTTACTTTCATGCACCCACCTTCCACAGCCAACTATGCATCTTACCTTTCACAATCTTTTTTCAAACTTCACAAAGAATACTTGTTATTAACGTGATTTTGGCTTCTCTTTTCTCAGATTAAAGAAACTGGCGCTAACCTAGCTATTTGCCAGTGGGGCTTTGACGACGAAGCAAATCATTTACTTCTTCAGAATAACTTGCCTGCGGTCCGTTGGGTTGGAGGACCTGAGATCGAGGTAAGGAGCTGTGTGGGGAGACTGCTGACCACAGGGCTGAGCTCACAGGCGTTTCTGCTTGGGGCCGCTTTGATAGTACATGCCTTATGGAAACACATCATGCAGAGGCTCCACAGAGCAGAGGAGCATGAGCTGGGAGAGAGGAAGATGCTAGCATCGGTTTTTATTGTTTTAATAACAGTGCTGTGTATTTCTGCTGTTCCATGGCATGTGCTTTCCATGTGTCATCTCGTTTAGCACTCACATTGGCTCTCTGAGGCAAGAAGACCAGTCTTACCCACTTCGGTGTTAGCTGAATACTGCTAGCCGGCCCAGATGTGGTCTGTACCCCAGACACACGCGGCCTCCTTGGTCCTCATGCAGCCCTGTGTACAGAGAGACGGACGGCTGCACAGAGCTCTGATTCAGAGCCACAGTCAGGGGACATGAGGTTGAGAGCTATGGGGACGTGTGCGGGGTGATCGAGCCAGGTGGCACCGGAGCCAGACCAAGACACCCAGCTCTTTAGAACCTTGTTCATTTAACAACGTTTTTTAGGTTGAACTTGAGACTTTTTGGCCAGGGTGGGGCAGCAGTTCAGTGAACAGGGTGGTCATAGGTCAAGTTGAGCTCATTCGTAGTCCGCTTGTGAAAGTTCACTGTTTCCCTACTTCGTCTTCCTTCTCCCCGTCCCTCCCCAATTAGTTGATTGCCATTGCGACGGGAGGGCGGATCGTCCCACGGTTCTCGGAGCTCACACCTGAGAAGCTGGGCTTTGCTGGTCTTGTAAAGGAGATCTCATTTGGGACAACGAAGGACAAAATGCTGGTCATCGAGCAGTGTAAGAACTCCAGAGCTGTAACCATTTTCATCAGAGGAGGAAATAAGATGGTGAGAATTCAGTTGCTTGTCCTACGTGTTTTCTGATTCTGGTACATGGTTTGGCTTTGCCCATGATATATTTAACTGAAACACAGTTAGTGTAAGAAAAACAGGGTCATTTTTCTTGAAGAAACAATGACATAATTGGTGTAAAATTACCACAGTTCCATGTCACTTCTGCAGGGCACACTGGCCTCTCTTTAGCCCCTTGGGTGAAAGAGGGGAACCCAAGCAAACAACCGCTGACGCCCTCCTGTTCTCCGAGGAGGGGTTTCTAGTGCATCGTCACACGTGACGCTCGTTGTGAGCTTTTCTCTCTGTCGGTTTTGTTTTGTTTGGCCCTTCGCTTGGTCATGTGTCCTGGGACGAGTCACTGGCTGCCTCTGCCTGCTTCGTTTTTTTAAACACTCTAGGGAGGAAAGGGAAGGTGAGGATGGATACCATCTGCTGACAGATGTTCTGGCATGCCCTCCATTTGTGTTTAGCCTGGATGGCTTTAATGGGGGTAAGAATATTGCCAGTGCCCGGCAGCCACTTAGAGTAAACCAGAGGTGGCAGCTGTTTGGCTCTAAAATGAACCGCTTGTGATCACGTTGATTTAGGCAAAACTCTTTTCCCTAGATCATCGAGGAAGCGAAACGATCCCTCCATGATGCTCTGTGTGTCATCCGGAACCTCATCCGTGACAATCGTGTGGTGTATGGAGGCGGCGCTGCTGAAATAGCATGTGCTCTGGCCGTCAGCCAAGAGGCAGATAAGGTAAAACACACTCAGGGCTATGTTGCACTCTGAGACGTTTCTGGACTGCGCAGGGAGGCCGAGGGGCTGCGGGCCGAACCAGATGCCGTCCAGAGTGAGCAAGAGCACTGTGAGCCGTGTGTGACAGGGGGGTTTCTTCTGAGTTGATTCTCATGCGTGTGTACTTCAGCATGGGTTACCGTAAGCTGGCATTTCTAAGCCTTTTTCAACCATTCCAGCCCTTACGATAATAATTACCCTCTACAGTTTTTTAATGATATTTGAAGTTCAAAATTAATTAGATATCATAACTGAAAATAAAGGCGTAAGGGCTGATTCGTTCTCAGACTTCTCACAGGTGTGCCCTTTCCATCCTTTCTCCGTAGAGGCGTGTCACTGTCCTCAGATCATCAGGGCAGCCTCTCCTTAGAATTACTCATAGGGGAGCTTTTCATGCATGTAATTTAATTATGTTTCCAAATTGCTGCTGGGTTGGTTTTTTTGGGCTTTGCCAAGCACGCTTACGGTACCCTGTACCCTTCCAGTGCCCGACCTTGGAGCAGTACGCCATGAGGGCCTTTGCCGACGCGCTGGAGGTCATCCCCATGGCCCTTTCTGAAAACAGCGGCATGAATCCCATCCAGACCATGACCGAAGTGCGAGCCAGACAAGTGAAGGAGTTGAACCCTGCTCTTGGAATTGACTGTTTGCACAAAGGCACAAATGGTGAGGACCTGTGCACGTCTGTGTGGGGTTGTGGTTTGATTTAAACTGAGTAATTTCATACCTTGTGGCTGTACAATATATAGTGTTTACTATGAGGTTATCATATCTTATTAAATATTTAAACTCACTTTAGGTGTTCAAGTCCTAAATTTTAAAATGTTTCATTTGGTTGCCTTAGGAGTTGGTTAGACTGCTAGTCCTAGCAACGTAAAATTAATTTTAATAGCTATAAATGGTAGTGTGGTGTTTATACCAAAGGTGACTTGCATTTTAATCTCTGGTTTTAGAAAATAATTCCCATCTCACTTTTTTTTTACACAAATGTGTGTCAGCGTGGGTCCTAGATGTTATAAAATGGCTCTGAAACTTGTGGTTTACAGCTTATTCTGTAATTGTAGCCCAGAAATGATGTACTGTTTTTAAACGTAGTATACTGTAACTTCTGTAGCCACTTGTAGTTCCTCTGCCGAGAGGGTGGTGTGGGCAACTTTAGCTTGTTGAAACCGTAGTCCTGGGGATTTCTGTACCGGTCGGGCCATGTCTGGGGTTCTGCCATCAGTCCTAATCCTGGAACCTTGGCTGGTTTGTGTTCTTACGTACGGTATAGGTCTCTTCTGCTTTTCCTGTTCACAGCCCAAGGATTTTTAGATCTTTCTTGAAATTATTTTACATTTCAGGTACAGTCAGCTGTCCCTTATTTCAGGTTTACTGAATTACAGTGTTGGATACTTTGTGCAATCAGATGTCCCTGAAAAGTTTCACCTTTTAGCTGGTCGCTTAGCAGTTGAGCTTGTCACTGAAGAGAGGTCCCCTCACCACCCCACTGCTCTCTGGTAGCCAGGTTCAAATTCCAGGATGTCCTTGAAAGTAATGAAAGTCTTTTTCTCTGAAAATGTAACTGGGACTAGTGGCTTCCAAATTTGTGTTTCTTAAGTTCTGTGATTCCATAAATCAAAGCAAGTTATTAATATTAAATGTGTATGCTGTTCTAGGATAATCAGTTTATTTGTATTTTTCAGATATGAAGCAACAACATGTCATAGAAACCTTGATTGGCAAAAAGCAACAGATATCTCTTGCAACACAAATGGTTAGAATGATTTTGAAGATTGATGACATCCGAAAGCCTGGAGAATCGGAAGAATAAAGAAGAAATTTAGAATAAAATATAGTAGTAAGATGCACTACTGTGGTTAAATAAATGGATGTCTTGTGATGCATCTACAGTATTTATTATATTACGTCCTTTTTCAGACACTGTAGATGCTGTGATGAAAATAGCTGTTCAGTAACCATAGTTCTCTTGTTCCGAGATGTGTGATTGTAGAGATGCTGTCTCATCAGCTTTTGTATTCGTTACATTAAAGGGGCCTCTTTAAACAACCTTCATCTTCTGCTCTTCAAGTTTAAGAAACATTCCCTGTAGTATTAATCCAGTGCTGCCTTAACTGAAGGGGTTTGAGTACTCAGTTCGTTTGTTCTTTTTTAATAAGCTGTAGGAATTATTTTAACAGCTTGAACATGGAGTTTGTTCTCAGGATTTATTGTAACAGTGTGAGGAATATGGGCTTGATCCTGTTAGACTTATTTAAATGATGTACCTGTCTGAACAGTGGGTCGTTTAATTGTAGAGATCCATCATAGGATTATTTCTGCCGCAGAATTTTGGGATGTCTAAGTGCTGTTAGGTTACACTGATGTAACCTGGGTGTTACTGCAGTGCTGATGAGACCAGCTTTGAAAGTTTCATCTTCACGTTGTCTCCTTTGCTTTGTTCTGGTCCTGGTCCTGCCCTGAACGTAGGCCAGCTTGTGTACAGAGAAGGCCGGCGTGGGCACAGACTTCTGCCCCACCCACACACACTTAGGCATTTCAGAACCCAGTTGGGGTTTTCTTTTCAGAGGGACAAAACAAGCAGAGGTTAGAGTGAATTATACAAAGTTTAAGAGAGAATGGTTTGAGTGGGAGGAAATACCTTGCGATTGCTAGGTATAGTATATTGGTATCGAGTTGTACATGCTAAAATAATACTGGCTGCAGGTGACACAGCCCTCACCACGGGTCAGGCCGTGTTTGGAGGGTTACCTGGATTGTCTCAGGTCTCTCCACCCAGGGAAGGAGATAGGTTTCTTAGTAGTCACATCTTACGGGCGAATTTTGGTTATTTGCCAGCATCTGGCTAGTAAGTAGTAGAGCCAGGTCAAACCCAGACAGTCTAACTCCACAGTGCCTCTCATCCCAATGCTGTTTGGTCCCGTTTGTCTATATGTCGTTCTCCGAGGGTTTCTGGTAGGACCAGTCAGAGGGTGTAGAAGCAGGAAGTGGTGATTGTTCTGTCTGAATTGCCCTCAGTGGTGTGTTTCAGGGTTGCCTTTTCCTGTGAACCTGGAGGCTGACCAGTCTTAACGCTTGAGCCTTGTGGGTCCTTTGGACATGAATGTGTTGATAGTTTCCCTCAACAAGTATCGTGTGGATTAGGAATAAGTGCTAATATCACTTCCTAATTTTGTATGTTTATTGAGTTACATGGTTGAGTATTGAAAGCTTAAAACCTGTTGAACATACACCCTAGTATTTTTTCATCATAAAGTGGGTTGTGAAATAGCACTGTCATAACTCAAACTACAACATTCTGCGTACAGCATCAGAATGCATCTATTCCAAGTTCAGAATCAAGTCAGGCACAGACCCCCTTAAGTAAACATCTTGACCTTGGAGCAGTGTGAGTGAGCTGATTGGCAGGGACTGCTTCCAGCCTGCAAAGAGCATGCAGCGGCTGTGGACCAGAGTATTCCCTGAAGGGGTCCCTGGTTGTATGAGAAGAGCCTCTGAACCACTCCTCTCTTCCAAAAGTCAACCTCACCGTGTCCCTGGTGTTTTCTGTGATTGAGAGAGACTCTGTGGCCTGCGAACAGGAAAGCTTGAGGAGATGTGGTCACGACATCAGCTGTTGGTTTTGCTTTAGGAAAAGCACCTCTGCAAGATAATGTTACCCTTTTTTGTGTTTTGGGGGGGTTTTTTTGGTGAGGAATATTGGCCCTAAGCTAACATCTGTGCCAGTCTTCCTCTATTTGTGTGTGGGACACTGCCACAGCATGGCTGATGAATGGTGTAGGTCCACACCCAGGATGTGAACCTGGGCTGCTGAAGTGGAGCACGTGAACTTACCCACTACACCACCAGGCAGGCCTCAATGTGTTAACCTTTTCTTATCTTCAAGTTCCAAATCACTTGTCAAGTTTTCCACCCCTTGTACTTGAGGTACGTGCCCCCTCATCCTCTCTGTCACAAGAGCAGCTCGAGGCACTTGGTCCTGAGGCCCTGTTCTGCTGCAGGACTTCTTGGCTCTCAGTTCCTCCACTTGCTGGATTTAGTTGATGTTTGTTAACAGCCTGGTCTTTAATTATAAGCAACCACTCAAAAGCACAAATGCGTCTGGACGGGTGGAGAGCCTGGTCTGTGCTATGTGACTGCACTGCCTGACCCTTGTGCCTTTCTCCTCTGCTCCTTGTGAAACGGCTCCGCTAAAGGATCAGGAGGGCGGCATTGGGGCAGGGTGCGGGGTAGCAGTTTGACAGTAAATTATCTGTAAGCATGCGCAAGTGCTTCTCCATGTTATGTGCTGCTTGCAGGCGGCTTGCAAGGTGGGGGTCATCTGAAGCACTAGAAAAGAAAGGCTACCAAAGATAAACAGCTACTTAGAAAACGTGTTGAAGGGCAGGCAAAGGGGCGACGGTGACAGCGGCAGGAAAGGTGTAATAACATCAGTCGTGTTCTCAGTGCTATCATAAACGGTTTGTATGGAAACCCGCGGTGGTGTCCAAAGTGGCCCCCAGGCCCCTTGGGTCCTGGCCTTTCAGGGGCCGCGAGGTCAGCAGGAGTTTCACACTAAGAGCTTGTTTGCCTTTTTCACTGTGTTGACAGTTGCACTGACGGTGCAAAAGCAACAGTGGGTAAAACGCCATCAATCAGGGCAGTGGCACAGAATGGTACCGTGGTTGTATTTTTCACCACCACACGCTGAAAAAAGCCGCTTCACTGAAGGATGGCCTTGATGAAGCAGTGTAAATTAGTAGATCATCAGATCTCGGCCCTGGAGTACACAGCTTTGCATTCTGTGGCACGATGTGCGTGACAAGTATGGTGGTTGTCTCAGCTGAACCAGCCCCTCTCGTCAGGGAACACCATGTTTACTCTAAAGAGTGACTGACTGGCTCCTCAGACTTGCAGATGACAGATGTTTTCTCAGAAGTGAATTTAATGAGCCTGTCATTGCAGTAGTGCGACTGTCAGTTCAGGCTTCTATGACGAAACTACCGTCGACAGAGTGGTTTAGACAGCAAACTGACCTCTCACAGTCCTGGAGGCTGGAAGTCCAAGATGAGGGTGCCAGCAGGTGCGGTGTCCGATGAGAGCCAGCTTGCCAGCCTGTAGACAGCCAGCCACCTGCTTGCTCTCCTCTCTCTCACCTTCAGTCTGTAGCAACAACCGATAGTATTTATTGCCAGTGATAAAATTTGCGTTTTCCGAGCCTTTTCTGATAAGATTGGTGGTGGTTTAAAGGATGAATTTTTGACATCGGGTAATGAAATGTGTCAACTTTGGGAAGATCTGATCTGCATAGCTCAGTAAACGTGTTTTCCAAGTGTCAATGCAAGCGTCAATGCGTATGATATCATGCGTAGATTAAGAGATCTTTTCTAAGTGTAAGGTGGACCAGTGTAACAATGAAAAGTTACTGGGACTACCACATGTCGAGTTTTTATAGATTAAAGAGGAATATCCACAGTTTTGTGAGAAGTGATTAATATACTCTCCCTTTTCCAGCTACAGATCGGCGTGAGGCCAGATTTTCTTCATAGGCTTCATAAAGCCACACGTGGCATTGAATTGAATGTGTCGTTAGAAGCAGAGACTCCCTGTCTTCTGGGGAGACAGGCATTAAGGAGATTTGCAAAAGTGGAAAATAAGGCCACCCTACTTGATTTGTTTTGGGGAATATAAAAAGTCATTATTTACGTTAGCATTTAATGTGTTTATTATTTTAAAATAAAACAAATATTTAATTTCTTAGTTTTAATTTCTAATACATTAAATGCTGGTGCGTGTAACCAAAATAAACATAAGCTCTTGGGAATCCTCAATAGTTTTTTAGAGTATAAAGGGATCCGGAGACCAAAACATTTGAGAACTGCTATATTAACATATTTAGTCCTCATAATAATGCTAGTCATTGTCAAATCCAAGAAACGCTGCCTAATTTGAATGTACCAGTCACTTCTTGAAATAAGCTTTTCAAGTTTATACACTAGATATTTTGAATATAAGCACTGAACATCTGCACTTAAGACTTCATATTTGTCAGATAATCTTGACTCCTGTTTCAAAGACAATCGAAGCTGGTGGTGTGAACTTCTGACTTTGTTCCCCCCTGTGGATGTCTTGGCAGCCCATCCATCCTACCCTGCTTGCCGTAGGCAGAATTCTAAAGCTGTGCCCCCAAGATTCAGTCTGGTTATTCAGTCATTCAGTCAAACCTAATCTAGGTACTGCTGTGAGGGACTTTGCAGATGCAGTTAAGTGCTAGTCAGCTGGCCCTAAAATAGGGAGCTGATCCAGGGGGGTCCACTGTAATCGCATGAGCCCTTAAGGGCTCACCAAAAAGAACCAAGAGAGGTGGCAGGAGCGAAGTCAAGGCATGTGGCGTGAGAAGGCTTGGACGCTCACTGCTGCTTCTGAGCTGCGGGACCCGTTCAAGCACTGAAGAGGCCTCCAGGAGCTGAGGGTGGCCCCCAGCTGACAGAAAGGAAATGGGGCCTCTGTCCTGCAGTCGCCAGAAACAATTCTGCCATGAACTTGAATGCGTTGGCAAGTAGATCTTCCCAGAGCCTCAGGAAAGGAGCCTGGCCGGCCAGTGCGTCGTTGACTGGGCTTGAGAAGCCCGGAGCAGAGAAACCAGCCGAGCCGACCCAGACTTACGATCTACAGAACTGGGAGAGAGTAGATTTGTTTTTAAGCCACTAAGTGTGATAATTTGTCACAGCAGCAACAGGAAATTCATACACTCCCATCTTGCCTCAGTGTGGGGAGGGCGTATGGATTGGGGGGGGATCCTCCTGCTCAAGACGTCTCTTCCCAATGCCTCTTAGATTCCATCTCTCAAGCTTCTTACTTCCATTCCCACCTCTGGGGTAATCAGTGGTCCTCGCCAACACATGGCTCTCTTCCTGGGCACGGGATAGGTGCACGTCTGGGATTCTTGTGCAATCCTTGGGTGGGGCCGTGTGACCAGCTCAGGCCACTGAGCGATGAGAAGCATCCTTTCCAAGCCAAAGCATTTACCTGTCAATGCAAGACCCTCCAGCGCTCTCTTTTCCGTCTCGGCACAGCAACATGCGTTATTTGATGCTGGCTGCTCCTTCAGCCTGGGTCTCCTAGGGATGACAACAATGGGAGTCCCCCCCAACACGCCATGGGCACAGAGCATGAGTGAGAGTCACAGATTTCAACTGGTTCACCCTGAGAACTGGGCTCCAGCTGCCTCATCCATTACCCAAGCATAAGCATGCTGACGAGACGCCCCATATGAGACTGTTTATTCCCCCCAACAACCCTGCAAAGGAATGTCACTGTCCTCGGTTTACAGATCCCACAATGACAAAAACCGAGGGCCAGAGAATTTAGTTGAGTTGCCCCGAATCACACAGCCAGCTCAACATGGTGGAGCCTGGACACTGCCAGCTCCTCCCCTCTGTGCCCATTCTGCCTCCCACACTCTCCCTCTGCCCACACCTCCCACGGCCCCCTGGCAGACGGCTCCCACTGGCCTCCAGGCCTCCCTCCTTCACTGTGCCCAGCCCGGGGCGAGTCAGCATCAGTCATCCTGGCATGGACCACCCTTTAATGATGTCCACTCTCAGCCTCTTTCATGACACATGCAGGGAAACCAGCTGGGGGATTTCTGGGAAACAGCTCGCTCCCTAACAGAGAGGTACAGGAAGAGAGCTCCTCCCTCCCTTCCTGCTGTGGCCAGTGTCTTGGGAGGCTGAAGCCCAGAGCAGTGCCTAGGAGGAGGGGACCCAGAATGGCATGTGGCTACCCATGTCCTGACATCAGTAAGGCCCTGAACACTCTTGGATCCATTTAAGGGTGGTGTTAAGACTTCAATGTTATTCTCTTAGCCATTGTTAGTTGAGATTTTTGTTATTTGCAGCCCAAAAAACCTGAGATTCCAGACTGGCCCCAAACCAAACTCTTTTCCCCCACAACTCTGCTTCTCTTCCGATATTCCCTATCCTGGATCATCTCTAAGCTGACCTCAGGTTGTTCACTGTGCCCTCCCAGTTCTCTTCTAAATGCTCTGGAATCTCCTCTCCTCTTCATTCCCCAGCCTGGGGTCAGACCTGCATCACTGCCTCTTGCTCCCTTCTTCCCTCCCTCTCCAGACGGACCCGTCTGTCACTCCTGCTGCTCTCACAGAAAGAACTAAAAGTGTCAGCCAGTTGGGACTCCTCAGGCCCTGCAGTGGAAGAAAAGAAGGGGTGGGGGTGGCTCCCCAAGGCTGCAGGGATCCTTCTGGCTGCCATCTTCCAGAACAGACATGCCCTGGGTTTCCCTCCCAGAGCCCCAGGACTACAAGAAATGGCCCCAAGTTGGCCGTGGCACACTGGGATGAAAACAGCCCCAGCCTCGCCCCAGGACCCAAGCAAACCCCCTGCACACGGTCCCACCCCATGGAGGGAGCCTCCTGCTGGGCCCAGGTCTGAGTGGGAGGGAAACCAGCAGGCTTCCTGGTGTCTGCAGACACTGGGAAGGGCTGATGGGAGGGACAGCTGTCTGGTCTAGTCACCAAGAAACTCCCTGGACTGGAACTGAGACAGACTCACTGCGGGGCTGTCACATGGGGGACAAGAGGATCTACAGAAGGTCAACGGGAGGCAGGGAGGGGATGGAGGTGCAGTCACTAGTGCAGACGAGCACTGCCCCATACCGTTCCACCGGCCACACGTGGCCACCAAGCGCTTGACTCGTGGCTAGGGCTACTGAGAGCTGGGTTTATTTGATTCAATCTTAATTAATTTAAATGTAAAAACTGAAACTCTACCCTTTACACCACCACCCTTCTGACTCAACACAGATTTCTGACACGGTCCCGGCCCCCGGGACCCGAAAATGCCACTGCCTGGGAGATGGCTGGATGGTAACTCTGACTCATTGTTTTTATCAGCTATTAGGAAAAGCCACGAATTCAAAGATTCAAAAAGTAAGTTTATTAGCTTGATATAATTAGGTCAATGCAACCCCATTTTAATCTCAATATTTCTCATAGCGCCATGTATGAATGTGACAAAGTCATCTGTATGAAGACAAAGACACATGTCTAATTAATGTGGGCCTTTAATGCCCCTGAGCTTACAGGTCATGTTGTCCCGGCTTTGCAACGTTAGTCATTTTAAAGGATATGCTCAGTTCAAGAAGAGGAAGGCCACGCCCGAGCTGTCAGCTGGTGCTCAAACAGCCATAAGTTTACATTACTACAATATTACCCTATCACTCAAGTTCTTCAGGTGCTGACCTGTTTTTAAATTTTTTATTTATAGATGTGTTAAAAATTAAATTATTTCATAATTAACCTTTTCTACTGAATTTGTGTTTCAGATGAAATAATGAATTTAAGGATCCTTTGATTTATTGTATATAGGGTGAAAATTAAATCAAATGATCCAAGTATTTCAAAGCAAATTTCTGGATGAAAGCTCTTTTGAGGAAGTTTGCACGTGGCCACCGCTAGACGTACTTGTTCAGCCACTCGATTAAATTCCTTCTCGCCTCGTCAATATAGGGCTTGTCTTCAGGTGAACAATCTTCTCTCTTCCGATGGACGAACCCATGAGTTTGCCCGGAAAACGTCTTAATTTGATACTCCACTTTGCAGTGTTCTTTCAACTTCTGGGTCAGCAACGAGACCTAGCAGGCAAAAGGTTTCATGACGACATGATTGTAACCCTCTAATAATGTTTCCCATTCTCCAAATCTTCTGTGCCAGCTCATAAAAGAGATTCAACATCAACACTTTAAATCAAGTTCCATAGCTATAATGAATTTTTAATTTTTATAACAGTTAGTTATAGGAGAGAATTCAGAGCAATATAAAAATGATACATCAATTATTTGAAATTGTATTCATATATTTTATATATTACTCAATATATAATATTCAATATATATATTCAACATGTAATTCAATATATTCAAATATAAGTTATAAGTGTATATTAATATATGTATTAATTATGAATAATAATTTATTTTTTTTTTAAAGATTGGTCCTGAACTAACATCTGCTACAAATCTTTTTTTTTCCTTCTTCTTCTTCTCCCCAAAGCCCCCCAGTACATAGTTGTATATACTAGTTGTGGGTCCTTCTAGTTGTGGCATGTGGGATGCTGCCTCAGCGTGGCCTGATGAGCTGTGCTGGGTCTGTGCCCAGGATCTGAACCAGCAAAACCCTGGGCCGCCAAAGCAGAGCGTACAAACTTAACCACTCGGCCACAGGGCCGGCCCCACAACAATAATTTCTAAACAAGTGCTCCTGAACCACAGTTGTCTTCTGCTTTTTCCTTATCGATGCGCTGGCTTTAACACACCCACGTCTTAAGGACACAGACCTTGTGACAACTCGTGGGTTACACATTGGGGGGACAGGAGGGCCAGGCCTACTTCTAAGCCCAGTGACCAGGCCATGCCACGAGCCCTTTGGGGGCTTACAATCGCACTCTAAGTCCCCAATAAAACCCTCCTTTAAAACTTTAATGTTGAAAGATATTTGGAGCAACAAATGAACCCTTTAGGATGTTTTCCCAGAAATGCCAAATCATGTTATTAAATATACAGATGAGCGGAGGAAAGATGCCAACTTACTTGCTCCAGAGGAATCACGGGATCATTTTCAGCAAAAATGAACAATGTGGGGTTCTTTAAACTGTACACATCTTCAGAATCCCTGACAATGCCTGAGAAGGGGGACAGGACACGAGGGTATGACTTCCACACACGAGATGCAGAAAATGTCAAGTTAGGTTTGATTTTTCAAAGTAAAATATGTGCTTTGGGGGTTTTATTTACTTTCTCTTTAGCAATGCCACAGAAGTGGCCTGGCCTATAACATCAGTCTCAAAGAGAAACTTATGTAGTCAGATCTTCCTTCTCTCCGCTTCTTTCACTAGGAATCAGGCCATTAAATCATGGAATTAGACCCTGCCGGCTGCTGGGCAAGTGAAGAAACAGGAGCAGCCCGGAAAAGGCTCCCTGTTGTGCTGTGCCTCCCTTAACCAGGAGGTGATAACTTTCAAATCTGGACCCTCTGACCACCACTGTTCTAGAAGTTTCTCACGGTCTACACAAGCCCCATGGGTTCTGACTTCAGTGTGCTAAGTGGCCTCATTCATTAGGTAGAGCAGCTGTTTGACAGTCTGTGCTCAGACGAGACCACGGGTGTGAAGTCCCGGGCACAACATCTGGTCCTACCAGCCTACCCACAAAAACTAGTTTTCATCCTTCGTTTCAGAATTGTATAGATCATTTAGTCAAAAGCAAGTTCTGTTGCAGATTCAGACGACAACGGTGGGTGTGCCCACTCCCAAGGAAAACAAGCAAAAGTTTTGCAATACGTGATTTTAAGAGTGGCGTTAAAGAAAAGATGATTCTGACAGTTGTTAAGGAAGGTTGTATCGTGGGGTTTGCAGTAGGGGACAGACCAGGCTTAACCCCAAGTACAAGAACAAGTGGGGATCTATGGCCAAGGAGCAGAGTGAGGTCAAGGGATGAAAACTACTAGGAGAAAGCCTCAGGGTAAGGAGGGCTCTGGCCAGAAGACTTGATGGGATTCTTGCTGAAGGCAGGCCAGGGTGACAAGGTATGGAGTACTGGGGGGGGGGGGGATGAGGAATTGCATGGGGGATTCCCCCTAGGCTGACCCAGTGGGCGGGACAGAGCCCAAGCTCGGGGCCTACCCAGAAGAAGGACTCACAGAGGGGCCTGACTCAGATTGGTCACGGACCAGACTCAGTCAGTAGGTAGGAGACAATAATAGGTAGCTTCTTTTTTTCTACCTACCAGTAAGAATGGAATTCTTATTTCCATTGTGTTGGCAGCACAACAAATCGAGGTAACCCAGACACCCTCCCCTCACCTATAACTCCTCTCTGGGAGGCAGGGAGCCACAGGAAAGACGGCCACGCTTCCTGCCCCTCTCTGTTAAGACCGCCTTCTGTGGCAGGACGCCTGTCTGATGCCCCCATGCTTCTGAGTCCCGCCACGCTGCGCAGCCCGTGCACTGCACAACAGCGGCCAGGAGGGGGCGCGGGCGAGGCGTCCACGTAGGAGCGCCTCCGGCTATTTCACACCGAGCACCGGCGTGGGCCAGGGGGCTCAACACCGCGGAGGGCAAGGTCCTGAGTTTATCTCCTTTTGTGGCAGTAAATATTTAACGGGCTTTTTAAAATGTGAAAAGTAGGTGAAAATACCACAGTGAGGAACCATTAAGCCAAACAGTCATTAGTACAACTGTATGATTTACTACTGTGAAAGGCGGCCAAATTTCCTTTTTCTGACATTTTTATGCTCTGAATGTTTCTCTATCGTGAACTTGGTATGCCGTTTCTATACACAAACATAATGTTCTTATTTCATTGCCCGGATCCGTTTGGTTTGTTTGGGCTGAAATGTTTATGTGGCTATTTACATTTTAGAGCGAGCTTTCCTTTGCTTTCTCTCCCTCTTTGTATTCTGCGTACGTGCATGCGGCTGAGAATAATTTGTATCGTGGAAAAATATTTTCATAGATGTTCCTCATAAAAATATTGCTTGGTATTAACCATTATCACAGAGACAAATGTTGTTATTCCGTTCGTCCCAGGTGAAGAAATCGAGGCCTGGGGTGAGGTGACTTTCCCAAAGGCACACTGTTGGGACCCAGGCCTCCTCGCTCCCTGTGACATCCTCTGGCAACTACAGTACAAACCCGACCTCTACCTGCAGATTTTTAAAGCCGATTTCCTTGAGAGCCGCCATCTGCACAATGGGGCTTTGTGTTGCACAGGGACCCCGGGCTGAGGAAGAGGCTCCTGGTTATTGTCACTCCACCCCTCCTCCTGTTTTCCTTGTGTGAAAACGCTCAAGGCAGATTTACCGTAGATGGACACGCCCGCCCTGAACTCTGGGTATTTCACCATCAGATGATGGACACCTACTCCACCCCAGCAGAATCCCACGACGCCAATTTTCTTCGCGTGACACTGCTGTTTCAGAAACCTCAGGACAGCATCAACCTCTCTAGAACAGAAAGAAATTCAAGAAAAAATATTCAAGACACAAAAGTAGTTTGTGAGCCCCTGGGAAGGGCGCTGGGCAGCAAGTCCCATGCTGATGGTACGCGGGCTTTCTCAGCTGCGGTTTCCTGAGGCTCTAAGAGTCTTACTCTCAGAGCTTCGTCCTCACCACCTCCTGCCAGAGTGGAGTGAACCACCTCCCACATCTCCTGCCAGGGCTGTCTGCCAAGCCCAGCCTCCTCCAACCACGGGACAGGGCTGCATGGGGGCGTCCTTGCAAAACACGGATCTGACCAGCTTACTTCCCCGCTGCAAGCTGAGAGAAGCCTTCTGCAGCCTCGGGATAACGGCCAAAGGCCGCAGCAAGGCTCCTAAGACCAGATCCCAAGATCTGCCCTGGCCCAGCGCCCCAGGCTCCCTTCTCTCCTCTCCACAGGCACCAGCCGCAACTGGGCAGCTCCCCAAACTCTGTCTGACTTGGCACATTCATTCCATCTGCCTACACCCCAGCTCTGAACGGCTTGTCTTCTCGTGCCCAAAGAGAACAGCAATATTTGGAAAGTCACCAGGACTATTTAAGCCATGAGGGGGCCAAGAACACTGCCCCTCGTCTTGCAGATGGTTCATTTGCAAATTGGCTGTTTGGAACTCAGAAGCATTTTCAACTAGAGGCAATAGACCCAAATGGAGGCAGGGCTGCAAAGCCAGCCCAGAAAGTTCTGTTTGATCCGATATGGGGAAAAATGCTGTCTGTTTGCATTTTAAAAAAAGGAAAGAAAAAAAAAAAAGGAGAAAGCAATTCTATTGGACTTCCTTTTTTCTTTTGATCATAACTTATCTTTGAACACATTTAAACATAGGTACCATACCTCCTGTGTGAGAGTAGTTATTTTCCTAATGTTAGAAGAGCAGTAATTGATTCTGCAAAATAAAATGAAATAAGCAATAGTATTTGTCATTTTGTTTTTTAAATTTTTCTCAAGTGCTTTGATCTTAAGAATAACCACCTTAATTAGAGTGGACAAGAAGGAAGAGGGCATTTCTATAAAAATTCTGGAACTGACTCAAGTGAACATGTCTGTGCTTTTATTGCCAAGTCTGTTCTCCCACTTTCCGGGAGCCCCAGGATTTAGCTTTAGATGAACCTCCCCTCCCCATGCCTGGCCCATGTACCTTGGGGGTTCTCCCCTCAGTTCCAGGAATGGTGTATGTGGCTTAGGCCTGGCCAATCAGAGCACAGCAATCTCCTGGCCATAGTGATTGATGCAAGGATGGACTTGTGGCCCAGTCATAACCATCGGGACAAAAAGTATTTTGCTGGGTTGCTAGGAAAGGGGCCAATGGGAGGCTGGAGCTACTGCAGCCATCTTGTCACCCAGAGGCAAAAGCTACCTGAGATCGGAGCCAGCATACAGGAAATGGAGCTGAGAGACGTTGGGAGGACGAGTCCTGGGGATCTCTTCTGAGTTACGGACCAAGCCCTGCTTGAAGCCAGAAACTACCTCTTTTCAGTTCCATAAAGCAATAAATCCCATGACTGCTTAAGTATTCAAGATGGGTTTTCTATCACTTGCAAACAAAAGACACTTGACGAGATACAAGGACTTGGGCTTTTTTCAAAGTTAGTCTTTCTGGTGTATGTCTCATTTTGCCTGAAAACATGCGGCTCTCCTTTCCCCCGTGGAAGAGCACCATGGGCTGCTCTAAGGCCTGCCACAAACCATCACTCTGATTTGTGCTCAAAGATGCACGGCAAACCCACATAGCTCTCCTTAGAAAGCAGGAAAATGTCCTTGAGGTCCTCCCCCACCCCACCCCCACACACAAAGCTGAATTTCGTATTCTTAGCATCACAGTCTCTCTGGTTCTCTTGTGTTTCTACTTCGAATTTCCTCTGAATGTCTTGCTCTGTTTTCTTTTCTTGGGGTCACAGGTTGAGTCCCGGGGAGGGAGCCTTGGAAGCGGGTAAGTGTGCGGGACGTTTACTCCCCAGCAATCTTGGGGTCAGCACTGTGGGAGGGCAGGGAGGGGGGCAGGACTGGGCAGAGGGAGAGCTTGGGCTGTGGTGCAGTTCCCCAACCAGCTCCACCGGGTTGCTCTGGAGCTGGGGCGGCCCTTCAGGGTCCCCCGACTCGGAGTGAGGGAGTCATGCCTTCCTACCCTGCAGTGGACTCCCCAGGACGGGGCGGACTTAGGGCAAGGTGGCTGGTGTCCTGGAGGCAAGCCCACAGAGAGCCATGGCCCTGGTCTCCTGCCCGCAAGACCCTAGGTTCATACTCCCAAATACCGTCCCGGGTACTCGACCAAGCTGGGGGCTCCCAGGGCAGGCGGCAGCCCCTCCCTCTCTGACAGCCGGCTCGGAGCCCCCAGGGAGACCTAGCCTTGGCCAAGAAGCACAGCTGCCCCGTACAGGCTGCCTGAGAGAGGGTGCCCAGAACACAGGCAGGTCTGGCCCCAGGGAGCTGGGGAGCCAGGCAGAGGCCCTGGCAGGGCCTTCCGGGCTGTGGGTGGAGCTCTGCCTGGGGCCACCAGGCCAGGAGACAGAGGGATCCCAGCCCCGGAGCCAGCTCTGGAGAGCGGGGCATCTGCAGGACTCTGGCAGGAGAAGAAAGAAATGGGGAGGAGGCCAAATGGTTAAGTTCATGCACTCCGCTTAAGCGGTGTTTCCGGGTTCGGATCCTGGGCGCAGACATACACCCCGCTCATCAAGCCATGCTGTGGTGGCATCCCACATAGAAGAACCAGAGTGACTCACAGCTAGGACATACAACTATGTACTGGGGCTTTGGGGAGAAAAAAAAAAAGAAAGAGGAAGATTGGCAACAGATGTTAGCTCAAGGCCAACCTTAAAAAACAAAAAAGAGGCGCCAGCCTGGTGGCACAGCAGTTGAATTCACACGTTCTGCTTTGGTGGCCTGGGGCTTGTGGGTTCGGATCCCAGGTGCAGACATGGCACGACTTGGCACACCATGCTGTGGTAGCCATCCCACATATAAAGTAGAGGAAGATGGGCACGGATGTGAGCTCAGGGCCAGCCTTCCTCAGCAAAAAGAGGAGGATTGGCGGCAGATGTTAGCTCAGGGCTAATCTTCCTCAACAAAACAAAACAAAACAAAACAAAACAAAAGAAAGAAGTGGGGAGTTCCACCTGACTCGGGACAGCTTATCAAACAGGAGGCTCTGGGAGTGGAGGAAGAAAGTCCCGTGATGGGAGAGGAGAGCATTAAGAAGGACAAATGGCCAAGGTGACTCGGAGCTGGTGTCGGGCGAACCCCTTTTGCCCAACATTCCTGGCCTCTTTCCCCACTCCATACTTAGTCCTCCAGACAGAAGGAAAGGGGATCCGAGCGCAGCTGAGAGCTCTGGTCCTTGCTTCTGGACCGCGCGGAGCTAATTTAATAAAAGGCTGCAAGCTTGAAGGATTCCCCCACTTTCCTCAAAGTGGGGGGTAGGGTGGTGGAGGAGGGTCAAGGTTTAGGCTGCGGGGAGGGGTGGCCCTTGGAGCCTCAGCCTAGAGCCACGGTTTCCAACCAGCGGAGCAGTAATACGGCTGAGTTTCTTTTTCTCTGCCCTTTGTCTCAACTGGCTCTGCAGCCAGGAGGGGAAGGAAGGAGTTCGACCCCATGGACCCCAGAAGGCCCACGGTCAAGGGAACGCGCACCACCGGTGCTGCCGCAAAGTTCCCTCCGCATCGGCGCCAAGAGGAGTTTCTAGGAAGGGACGCAAATGAGCTGCTGGGGCAGCGGCGTGCTTGCTGGTTTCCAACCTTCCAGTTCAGAAACCTGCTCAATGAAAACGTATCCTTAGGCTTTAGGAAGGACTCGGTTCGCGTGGCCTCCCAGTCCCACACGGAGGGAGGGCGGAGTCTGAACGCTGAGGCCGCGCCCACCCCTCCCTCGGGCCTCCCCAGAGCCCTGCGCGGCGCCGATAACTTACTTATCGATGTTCCTGGCATTTTTTGTTTTCAACCACTCCGGGAAGGTGGCCCAGTCCCAAGAGGGGTCCCACGGCTCTTGCCCTACAAAGAAGTCTGGAACGATGGTTCTGTAAAACAGGGACATTAATGGATCTTAGTTTCGGAGCTGTCACGCCTCCTCAATGAGGGTATCTGCTTACAACCTCTTTAGGAAACCTGCTACGTTGGCGATTCTGGCTCACAGGGAAAGAAAAGGAGTGGTCGTGAGGGCCAGCTCTGATGGTAGCAGAGGCCAGCTGGCGCCAGGCCAGGCCATCTGGGATTTCACAACCGTAGGTGAACAGCCTTTGGCAGCCTGCCTACAGCCCGGCCCCTCTGAAATGACACGCCCCACGAGATCGCTGCACAGGAGGAGGGGACCCGGTGGCCAGGGCCTGAGGCAGGGCGAGGACTCCTTCTGTCCCCAAGGAGTGGCTCCTGGCAGCCAGCTTCTCACGTTAGCCTCAGGCCAGAAGGGCACACCTGGTTAGCAAGTCCAGTCACTATGACCAAGCAGTTTTCCCAGCCTCTGCCCACGATGCCAGCAGGGCACAATGTCCTGCCCAGAGGGTATAGTCTACAGCAGCTTCTAAAAGGGAGAACAAACAAGCCAGAGTCCAGGGCCATCTCGCCTGCAGTCAACCCAGGAGCCTGGGGCCAATGCTGCTCCGGCCAGGGACCCGTTTCCTAAAATACAGGGTCATCACCATGGAGGGAGGAACAGCTCCTCCTGCAGGGGTGGAAGGAAGGCTGAAATCTGGGTCAGAAGAATCTATGTTCAAGTCCCAATACCCTCCCCGCCCCATTCTGCCCTGTAACCTTAACAGTCATTTCACCACTTTTAGCCTCCTTTTCTTGATCTGACAATTAAAGGCTGCACCCTGCAGGGCGCACCCTCAGAGGATTATTTTAAAGGCAAAATGAGTTGTGTTAAGTCGGAAAGGGCTTTGTAAATCAAAGGCGTCTTTCCTCATTCTTCACGCTCATCTCCAGCTTGAGGACCCACCAGAAGACATCGGAAGCCACTGCCCCATTCAGCCTGCTCATTGCTCCTGGGTGACTGAGGGAACTGCCACCTCAGTCTTCACACACAGATTTCCTAATCTAAAACATGGGAACAATGTCTGCCCCACCCTGGCAGGGTTGTTGGGAGAACGAGGTCAGTTATCGCGAAACGCCCTCCCTCGGCATGGGGTCTGGCCAAGCCAGAAGGCAACTGGGATTGGCTATTGCTTTTATTCCTGGGCTTTCTCCCAGAAAGTGAAGTTGCCTCATCTGCCAGAGGCAATGTGGGGTCGGGAAACAGTGAGAAATCAAGTAGAAGTCCTCTTTTCCCAGTGCACTAACTCTGCATCACGTGGCACCGGGTGGCTTCCTTTAAATTGGTTTCTCTAGGTAGGAAAACCAAGGAGGTGCACCCTTTGGTTCCCAGCTTCTCTTTTTGAGAAAACAAAGGGTGCACACACTTGAGCCTTGCTGGGTTTCACGCTTTCTGAAGCCAGAGAGGAAGGAACGATGCGGCCTCTCCTCCGGGCTTTGCTGAAGCTGTTTCCAACAGTGAGAAGCAAACAAGTGACAGTGTTTGCCAGATGGGCCGCGGCCACGTGATCTGACAACGGCCTGAGCTTTGGGAGATGAGTGAGGTCTCCCGGTGCCAGTCCTGGAACAGCTAATTCAGACAAGGCCATGAGAGTTCATGTTGAGACCAGGATCACCACGGGCTACCTGCCCGTGAAATCTGACCTGAGGCTGAGATGCTTCAAGGCTCAAGTAATGGGTCCATTTCAGAGCTGAGGAGGTCCAGCCCAGGTGTCCTGTACTTGTGTCCTGTACCTGTGTCCGGGCAGCGCCCCACGTCGGGAAATGACTCCCTCACTGTCCGCCAGGACTACAGGGCCAGGCAGTCCCCGGAGGAGCTGAAACCCAGGGAAGGGTTGGGAGCAGGTGGCTTCCACTAGATACCAGGTGAGTGGTTAAGGTGCAGGTGACATTCCCCATTTACCGGCACCCCAGTGAACTAAGGAAGTGGCTAATGTAACTTAGAATACAGTCAGAGTTTTTGGTTTTGTTTTCTCTGAAAGGAACAAAATAGATCACAGAAATTTACATGAATTTAAGCAAAGGAACAGAATTGTATACGTACGTGTAACCATTTCCTGCTATCATGTCAGCCATATATCTGGTATTGGGCAACTGCCAGCCGAATATATCTTGAATGATAATCACGGCTTTGCCCGCGTCGACGGGGGATTTGGTGACATAAGCCTTGATGTGCTCCACTTGAACTTCACGCCCCATCCCTCCATACTCTAGCTTGTGGCCAATGTCGCATGGACAAGGGTGTGCTTCGTTAGCCATTGCAGATATTTAAGTCGGGCTACAGAGAGAGAAACATGCATTACATTCTGAACGGTGCAAATCCAAAGATTATAAACAGTAAGTAAACTAAAATCAGGAGTACAGAAAAAAAATTAATTTTAACTATACTCATAGTGTATTCATGCAAGAAATCAATGATCGTTTCTGGTTCTGGGAACACCGCAGAACAGGGCTAATAGGAATCCACCGTGGACTAGGGCTAATAGGAACCCATTCCCTTTACAAACACCAGAAATACCAGAGTGAACATAACCAATAAATAAAAGATAACAATAGTGGAGCTCACAGGAAAAAAGGGAACAACCCCCAGCCGGGATGGGAGAGGAAACTGAAAGCCAGGGTCAGGATGGCAGGACCAGACGCTGCGGGAGCCCAGGGATGCTGGAGCAGGCCCTAGCAGAACCAGGCTCAGGCTTCTGTGTCTAGTGAGGACTGGGGACCCCAAGAAACAGGATTTGTAACTGGGACTGCCCCACACAACATCTGAGCCCTCAAAGGCTCCTATTTAGTGGGGAAAATAAAAACAAAAACCAACAACAAAAGAAAAACTCTACCAACCAGGATTAGGAACATGGTAAGGAAGCCCAGGAAGGGAAAAAAGAAACCAAACGCCCAAGATTACGTGGCCCTTTCCAAGTAGGAGGACCTAGGCTGAGAAATTCCCATAAAGCTGACCCTGGGCAGGGAGGCCCCAGGGCGCCTGGCAGAAGCAAATGCAAATGCACTTTATAGCAAGACTTTCACAATCCAGGCCAGAAAATACTGCTGTCGCAGAGGAGCTCATGCAAGGAAGTGCTCCACATCCACAATAATCAGGAGAAATTGACGGTGAGAGTGGGGAAGAAATGAGAAAGGGACCTAACAAGCTTGACCAAACAAACAGAAAGCAGGAAAGGAGAAGGAAAAGAAAATTAGAAACCTATCAACTATAAAGGAAGAAATAATGTGACTGAAATAAATATAAATAGATTAAATTCACTATTTGAGACCAGATTCTCAGATTGAATTTTTTAAAAGTTGAGGTTCCATCAGAGAGGGGAATCTGGGAATGCTGAACATGAAGACACAGATCTCTTCCTCAGCAATTAGAGAATACGCAGTCTTTTCAAGCAGATGTGAAACAGTCACCAAAATTGCCCACATATTAACCCACAACTCAAGTCAACAAAGATTTTATATAAAATATGATATTAGTACAATGAAGAAATTATCATAAAAACTCAAATGGTTTAGAACTGAATTACAGTGATAACACCATGTAGCGAAAGTTGAAACAATACACTGATACTCAGAGAAATATTTACAGCCTAGATTGTGTCAGAGAGGAAAAAACTTTTCCTCTACCCTCTTAGGTTCAGAGATGGGGGCCTGTGAATTTAACTCACAAAAGATAAATTAACAAGAGAAAAGGCATACAGTTTTTACTAATATTTTTAATTTTAAGTACAAAAGGGCTTCACAGAAAAGAAGTTAGAACCCAAGAAATGGTTAGACTCGGGGCTTATATACCATTTTAACAAAGGGTAATAAACTGTGGAGGAGTGATTGGGAAATAGATGGGGAGAAGTGATGGAAGATGAGGGTTATTTTAATAAGGTTTGTTTATGCAGACTCATCTCAGTGAGGCTCTCCATCTCTGGTGATAAGAATTGCTCCCTTCTCCAAAGAAGATATAAGTATGGCCAATAGACACATGAAAAGATGTTCATCATCGCTAATCATCAGGGAAATGCAAATCAAAACTACACTAAGATATCACCTTACACCCGTTAGATCGGCAAAAATATCCAAAACCAAAAGTGACAAATGTTGGAGAGGGTGTGGAGAAAAAGGAACCCTCATACACTGTTGGTGGGAATGCAAACTAGTGCAGCCACTATGGAAAACAGTATGGAGATTTCTCAAAAAGTTAAAACTAGAAATACCCTATGACCCAGCTATCCCACTACTGGGTATCTATCCTAAGAACCTGAAATCAGCAATCCCAAGAATCCCATGCACCCCTATGTTCATCGCAGCATTATTTACAATAGCCAAGACGTGGAACCAACCTAAATGCCCAGAAACTGATGACTGGATAAAGAAGATATGGTATATATACACAATGGAATACTACTCAGCCATAAAAAAGGACCAAATTGTTCCATTTGCATCAACATGGATGGACCTTGAGGGTATTATGTTAAGCGAAATAAACCAGACAGAGAAAGACGAACTCTATATGACCCCACTTATAGGTGGAAGTTAACATATAGACATGGAGAACCGATCGGTGGTTACCAGGGAAAAGGCGGGGTGGGGCGAGGGCACAAAGGGTGAAGTGGTGTACCCACAACATTACTAACAATAATGTACAACTGAAATCTCACAAGGTTGTAATCTATCATAATCTTAAAAAAAAAAAAAAAAAAAGAATTGCTCCCTTCATCCTGGGCGTGGGAGGGAGGATTAATGCCCTGCTTTTACACAGAGAGGGCAGGGCAAAGTGCTCTTCTTGCATCTGCTGTTTCCTAAGTGCTGTCAGCTCAAAATAATCAATATGTCAAAGTGCCACATTTGGGGCAACATATTCTGATCCTCTTCAATTGCATATATTAGACAAGAGGAAATAATTAAAATACGTTAAGCATCCAATTCGAGAAGCAAGGAGAAGAAAACAGAATAAAACCAAAAGGAGAAAAGAATGAGATAAAAATAAACAATAGAGAAAATAGAAAAACATTAAACTTTTTTAAATTAAAATTAAAAAAGGGAGCCAGCCCGGTGGCCCAGTGGTTAAGTTCACACGCTCTGCTTCGGCAGTCTAGGGTTTCGCCAGTTCAAATCCTGGGCACAGACACGGCACTGCTCATTAAGCCATGCTGAGGCAGCATCCCACATGCCACAACTAAAAATACACAACTATGTACCAGGGGGCTTTGGGAGAAAAAGGAAAAATAAAATCTTTAAAAAAATAATTAATTAATTAATTAAATTTAAAAAGGTTTTTTTGAAGAGTTATAAGATAGGCATACCTCCAAAAAAACTGATCAATAAAAAGTAAAGGATGATAAACACACACACGACAACAACAAAACAATATGTGGAATGGATAAGGTGACATAAGTAAAGATTTTCTCTTTAAAAATCATAAAAAATTAGTATGAACAACCTTATGCTAATAAATTTGGAAACAGAACAAACGGACAAATAGGCAGAATAAAAGAGAGGAAATGCTTCCCTCTATTTCATAAGCCAAACTTCAAAAATCAATGTCAAAGAAGTAAAGGTGGTGAGACAGCTCGAGACTGAAAGAAATTAGAGAAATAAAACCCAATGCCCTGTGTGAATCTTGACCAGATCCTGGTTCAAAATGAAGAACAGCCATGAGACACATTTGGGGGACAAGGGGGAACATGAATATGGATGATAATTGCTATTACGAGTTATTACTAATTGTCTCAGGTGTGACAGCAGTGGTTACGTAGGAGAATGTGCTCATTTTTAGATGTGTGCTCCCGTCCTGGGGATGAAGTATCAGCATCCGCAGTTTACCCTCAAATGGTTCATAAAACACACATGCACAGACACACATACAGATGCACAAAGCAATTATGGCAAATCGCGAACAGGGCTGAATCTAGATGACCAGTGTACAAGTGTTTGCCTTCTTTCCATTTTTCAGGAACAGCCAGGAGACCAGGGTGGTTGGAACAGAAAGATCAAGGGAGAGAGAGAGCAGGGGGTGATGTTTTTGGTTGGAATTTGCTTTTTCCTCACTATGAGATGGAAGCCATTCGAGGGTTCTGGGAAGAGGAGTGGCCTTATTTGACCTAATTTAAAAGTATCACCCAAGGGGCTGTTTTAAGAAGAGATTGTCAGGTGGACGAAAAGAAAGTCCAGATAGGTGGCTACTGCAATGATCCAGGCAAGAGATGACGTAGCTTCCACAAGGACGGTCATGGTAAGAGTGGGAGTGGTCAGGTCTGGCTGGGCTTTGAGGGTACAGCACACTGGTTTTGCTGACAGATGGCATGTGTGGCGCATTAGACAAAAAGAGGAATCAGCGCTGACGAGGTTTTTTTTGCCTGAGCAACTGGAAAAGGACAGAGTGTCTTTAAATAAGGAGGAAGTGCAGGAGAGCAGGTTTAAGGCCAGGACTTCAGTTTGGGGCAAGTAAGCTTGAGATGTCTGCTAGACAAGCTGAGTGGATGGCTGGAAACAAGACAGAAGTTCAGGGCAGGGGTCCAAGCTCAAGCTCTGAATTGGAGAGTGATCAGCATATGCAGTCGAAGCTTATTATTTGCAGATTCCACAGTTATGAATTTGCCTACTCGCTAAATTCATTTGTAACTCCAAAATCAATACTACTGGTACTTTCGCCATCATCCACGGACCTGTGCAGAGCAGCGAAAAACCTGAGTCACTGACATGCACGTTCCAGCCAAGGTCGACCAAGGCAAGGCCCTGCCCTCCTGTTTCAGCTCTCATACTGTAAACAAGTGTCCTTCTCACAGTCAGAAGAGGAAAGGGTTTCGAGAAGGGGATAGTGTGGACTTTGCAGCATTCTGCAAGGAGGCCTAAGAGATGCAGACTGAGGGGGACCACAGGGTTCAGCAAAGCGGAAGTCAGGGTGCGCTCGGTGAGAGAAGGCATGGAGGAGTGGGGTGGGGGGATGCTGCTGTGGGCTTAAGCGAATGAGGGGAGAGGTTCGGAGACAGTGAATACAGAAACTCTTCTAAGACTTCTGCCAGAAAGAGGAGCAAAGAGAGTGAACAAAAGATGGAAGGAAGATATGGAAACAAGTCTTTTTTCTTTCTTTCTTTCTTCTTCTTATTCTTCTTTCTGGTGAGGAAGATTGGCCCTGAGCTAACATCTGGTGCCAATCTTCCTCTATTTTATGTGGGACACTGCCACAGCATGGCTTGACAAGCAGTGTTAGGTCCGCACCCAGGATCCAAACCTTCGAACCCTGGGCTGCTGAGGCAGAGTGAACAAACTTAACCAGTACACCACCAG